CAGGCGAATTGGCAACCGCAGTTAGTTGTTGACTCATAAGACGTCAAGTACTAACAAATAAAGAAACATTTTTTTTATACAACTTAGAATGGCAAACAAGCTGACGGCCCACCTGATGTAAAGTGGTAACCGTCGCCTATAGACGTGAGCAGTATCATGGACATAACAGAGTATACTATTTCGACTATGATACCCCCATGCGTTGCTATTCCTGAGGACTCAGGTGTTATTCCTCTGTACCCTGTAAATTCACGCTATATACCACCCTTCAAACCGAAACACAGCCATGCAAACGCAACTGCTTCACGGTAGAAACACGAATGGGACAGAGGTACCCAAGCAATCGACTTTTGTACAAAGTCTCCCTCTGGTATAATTCACTGTCACATTTATAATATTAGTAAGGATAATCATTATCATCGTCATTTCAGCCATTATCCGTCCACTGTTAGACATGGACTGCCATAAGGAACGGTCCTGAGCCACCTGCATCCACCGACTACCTGCAATACATTTAAGGTCATCACTCCATCTAGTGGGGGATCGTCCTACAATGTGTTTGCATGCACGGGATCGCCACTCAAGAACCTTTCTTCCCCATCGGTTGTTAGTTCTTCGAGCTATGTAACCAACACATTGCCACTTATTGCTTAAGCTAAGCAATAAGGATAATAGTCCCCGTCAATTAAGAATAGAAATTAAATAATAAATTAAAAAATAAATAAATGGGTAGAAATTTAAAAAGTTCTCTTAACAACATTACGGAAGGTAAACAATAAAAAATCAAGTTTGCCCATTTTAAATTACAATAACACTTTAATAAGGCAAATTGATGTCTACTCCGGCGAAGTAATTAAACTTGTTTTTCAGAGTTTTTAATATAAAACTTTTCACTTTGGCCGTTGGAAAAAAAAAAACACCGAGTCCACGGACGCCGCCCGCGGTTGTTTATATCAAATAAAAATACCAAAAAGTTGGCGCTCGCTTTTTTAAATCATCGAGCCGCGTGGCGCGTGGAGCGGTTACGACATCCATACATACAGCTATACTTTATCAATGTTATCTCGTATGTATTTTTTTTTGATGGGTGAAAATGGTATGGTAACCCCACCTGCGTTAACGGGATACGCTGGCGGAGCACCATTGAAGGGTGATAGATGAGAACGAAAACTGGCCAGTTAGCCCATCATGATGAATTCATCAGGAATTAACCATGATAGTTTCCAGGGAGAACCGCGATGAGGTCAACCTGATTGGGTATATTGCTAACAATGGGATTCTCAGTCTCCATTACTAACAATCCCTTTACCCCCCCCCCCCCCCCTCTTGTATGTGTTTTAATTGTAATGTAAGTGTTTTAATCAATATTATTGATCGAGTATGACACCTGACTTCTTTATTTTATAATATGACTAATTTTTAATAGTGCAAACCTCTTTTTGAGGTTTTTTTTTAATGCGTGATAATGAAATGGTAATCCAAGCCTGCGCTATCGGTGTACGCTGGCAGAGCACCAGTGGGAGGTGATAGGTGAGGATGAAAGCACATTAGTCAGCCCATCGTGACAAATTCCACTAGAACAAACCACGATGGTTTCCAGGGGGAACCACGCGGAGGTCGACCTAATAAGGCATATTGCTAGCAATGGGGCTTTCAAACTCCGTTACTAACAATCCCTTTCCCCCCACAATACGCAGGTTAAACGCTTTAAAAGATTCCAGCCAACTGTGAAGCCGAGCAAGGAGCAAACATCTTATCCCCTAGTAATCACAGGCGTGAAGATATCCGTAAATAACATCTTTACAAACTTTCTAAACTCAAATTTATTGTGCCATTACTCATAATCATAATTATATAAAGAGATAGGGGGATAGAAAGAGAGGGGGCACGCCAATTATATGTATTTGTATTAGTGCGAAAGGGACCGACGTATTTACAGAGAGCCGCCCTCGCGATAGTTTCCAAATTTTCGGAAAGTATTCGTGTTGTTTGCTATTAGCGGCGGTTTACATGGCGCAAATAGAGTTTTTATATTTTTATAAACTTTTATAAAAATGAATAGGTATCTGTTGGGTGTTTTATACTTTTCAATGGAACTTTTTTTTTATACAACTTAGAATGGCAAACAAGCTGACGGCCCACCTGATGGAAAGTGATAACCGTCGCCTATAGACATGGGCAGTAGCATGGACATAACAGAGTATAGTGTTTCGTCCATGATACCCCCCATGCGTTGCCATTCCTCAGGACTCAGGTGTTATTCCTCTGTACCCTGTAAATTCACGCCATATCCCACCCTTCAAACCGAAACACAGCCATGCAAACACAACTGCTTCACGGTTGAAACACGAATGGGACAGAGGTACCCAAGCAATCGACTTTTGTACAAAGTCTCCCTCTGCTAAATTAAAAACAGTTCATTCTAAACAATTCGACAGTAATTTTGCCTTAAAATTAACTTCAGTTCTGTTGACATGTCAAAATGAATGACGTATTTTTTATAGTTTATTAACCCTGTTATTATGGATATGAAAAGTATTGTTGGATAACATATAGCAATATACATATATTTTAGTTACAATATCTATCTACTAGTCTAATAACGAATATGTTAAAAGTCGATTGCTTGGGTACCTCTGTCCCATTCGTGTTCCAACCGTGAAACAGCTGTGTTTGCATGGCTGTGTTTCGGTTTGAAGGGTGGGATATGGCGTGAATTTACTGGGTACAGAAGAATAACACCTGAGGCCTCAGGAGTGGCAACGCATGGGGGGGTATCATGGGCGAAACAGTATACTCTGTTATATCCATGGTACTGCTCATGTCTATAGGCGACGGTTACCACTTTCCATCGGGTGGGCAGTCAGCTTGTTTGCCATTCTAAGTTGTATAAAAAAAAATAGCTTGTTAGTTTGACCTAAATAACTTTTGTCGATACTGAAGAAGGTTTTGCTTGTCTTTCTTTTAAACACAACTTTTGTCTATTGACTTGTATACATTATGCACAACACGCCGAACTTGGACATTCGGAGAACTAGAAGACCATCATGATATAACCAGGGGCAAAGTCACGAGATACAGCTAGTGATAAATATAACTTACAATCAAATGTTGAATTGCGTCATGTAAACCGCTCCGTTTAATAATGCACCGACCCCTTGTTCGAGGGGCGACCGGGTGGGGTAAACGATTTTTGCCATTTTCTACCCAAAAAATAACCCAACACTATTTTAGATAAAAACACGTCAGTTTTGGGCGCACGCGCAAACGACATGACGCGTTAATAGTTATTTATCGAATGTCAATTACGGATTAATATTTCGAATCGTCACGTACGACGGTTACAAGTTATGAGTTCGAATTTTGTAATTTGAAGTGGCGCTATTACAACATATTTGAACAATTTGAAATTCGAATGTTAACAATTTATTGGAATTCTGACATTTGTTTAAAATGAATAGTGTTTGACAGTGTAGTGTCGATAATAATGTTGCTACGGACTATAAATGAAAGAAGCGCAAATAAATCATTTTGAATACAGTAGGTACGTCTAACAAGAATCTTACAAGATTCATTTATGAACCAAAAAATAATTTATATAATTACATTGTTAATAATTTATATATTTTAATATATATATTTTTTTATATGTAATATAGGCTTAAGATATTAATGTAAATACCTTTTTAATTTACTTCAGAAGTTAAATAAAAAAAATTAATCTTTTATCAATTTTACGGTATTATTTAAAATGCGATTATTAGAGTATTTTATAAGAAATATATTAAAAATTTGTATTTGTAATATAATATAATGGGGGGAAGGGGATTGTTAGTAACTGAGATTCAGAAGCCCATTGCTAGCAACATACCCAACCAGGTCGACGGTTCTCCGTGGAAACTATCATGGTTAATTCCTGACGAATTCATCATGATGGGCTAACTGGCCTGTTTTCATTCTCATCTATCACCCGTCACTGGTGCTCCGCCAGCGTATCCCGTTAGCGCAGGCGAGGTGTTACCATACCATTTTACCCCATCAAAAAAAATACAATATATATATATATATATAATAAAATGAAAACAGGCCAGTTAGCCCATCATGATGAATTCATCAGGAATTAACCATGATAGTTTCCAGGGAGAACCACGAGGAGATCGACCTGGTTGGGTGTATTGCTAGCAATAGGATTCTCAGTCTCTACTAACAATCCCTTTCCCCCCGGTCGAGTAATTTTGGAGATTAGAATGAAAACACATTATGGCGTGACATTGGATTTTTATGTATTAAGATTACACCTAGAGATATAACGGTAGATATATATATATATATATATATATATATATATATATATATATATATATATATATATATATATATATATATATATATATATATATATATATATATGAAGAAAAATTATACACCACAGGTGCAGGGAAATAACTTTTCGGTTACAAGCGTTCGTCATACTATATTTTGGTGATGACGAGAACTCAACTTTTTTATTATGAAAAGTAGCATATTGAAACACAAAATAATGTATGTACGTAAAGCAGCTATAAATATTCGTCAAATATTCAACAAACACATTATTATATAAAAAAATTCTATTGTATGTACTACCACAGATTACAATACATTAAAATTATAGATTTTTTTTAATAGCAGTAAACGGTAAGCTGCTAGCTAGTTAGGATAAAAGCTAGCATATCAGTTGACCCATCGTGACTAATTCCATGGGAATCTTGTAGGATAATCATTCATATTTAGTTCTTCACCGTAAATCCCCCAGAGTAACAAGTGTCTTTTTTTTACAACACAGGGGGCAAACGAGCATGCGGCTCACCTGATGGTAAGTGACTACCGCCGCCCATAGTCACCCAGCAGCTCCTTACAATTCATTTGTCTTTGAAGACTTTGTTCTATCAAAATGTATCCCTATCTTTCATTACGTGTTAATTCTGTAATCACTAAAGAAGGCTATATCTCATTTCCAGATGCGGCGGTGACGCGATGTCAGTCGCGCCGGCGGTGAAGCGCGAGCTGGACTTGGAGAGCGGCGGCGGCAGTCCCGGGCGAAAGCGGCGCAAACAGGCGGCGCCGACGCGCGCGCCCCAGCCCTTGCCGCCTCCGCCCCTCGACCTGCACGCCAAGATGGCCGACATCTACAAGAGCGCCCTCGCCTTCGGGGAACTCGCCCTCCCCACCTTCGATCCTTTAGCCGCATTCCGTCTGCTCCCCCGTCACGAACCACCTAGAATATTCAATCCCGAGGCCTACTGTGACCTCTGCTGCAAGGAGTTCTGCAACAAATACTTCTTGAAGACCCACCGGGCGAACAAGCATGGGATCTACGATGGTGGGGAACCACAACCGGCTGCTCCGCCGCCTGCGCAACCATCCCCACCGAGGCGGGCCTCAGATGAAGAGTCGGGTGGAACACCGCGGCGTCTCTCACCAGATTCAGCGAGGAGAGCACGCGAGGCTGGTTTTCAGCCTGACGCGCTACGGAGACTCGGTGTCGTTAACCCGGAGGCGTTCTGCGAAATATGCTGTAAGGAGTACTGCAATAAATATTTTCTAAGAACGCATCGGGAGAGAAGACATGGCGTCCCAGCACATCCATCGCCCGCAGCGGATCTGTCCCCGCCTTCGGCAACGCCACCGATGCCACTCGGTACACCAACACCGTTGACGACACCACTGGCGACACCACCGGCGCTTCCGGCTCCACCACCTGACACTCCTCCTCGGTCTCACTCGCTCCCACCACCATTTGATCCAGAAGAGATGGCCGAAGTAAAACGCGAGTGCGAAGAAGATTTTGAGGCAGCTCTACGCGATGGTCAAACGAGCCCGTTAAATTTAATTGTGGAGGAACGCGGCACTGTGTCGCCCGGTTCTGCGAGTGAGGAGTTGCGGAAATTACAAACGATGATTTCGCAGCTGAACGAGCTCGCGGCCGAGCGGCTCTCGGATGAGCCTTCCGATCCTGGTCCGCGCCCACCCTCTTCGTCTCCGCCGCCACCTGACGAGCGTCGTGCTTCTTCTTCAGGGTCTAGTTTTTGCGAAATTTGCAATAAGGAGCTGTGCAATAAATATTTCATGCGCACACATATGCAACGTATGCATGGCATCTCTCTAGAGAGCGGCACGCAACTAGGCGGCGTCACCTGCGACATCTGCCACAAGGAGCTATGCAGCAAATATTTTCTACGCGTGCATAAGCATAACACGCACGGTATTCCCGCACCACCGGCGCCGACGAACGCCGCGCCCGCCGAGCCGTGTCCGCTGTGCGCTCGCCGATTTCGTGGGCCGCGAGCGCTGCGCGCACACCTGCTGGCCGAACACGCGCCGCCAGCCAGACCGCCGCCGCCGCCGCCGAGACCCCTAGACCTGCTCGCCAGAGACAAGCCGTACGCGTGCTCCTACTGCCCGTTCACGACGGACGTGCTCGCGTTCCTGTTCGCGCACGAGCGCGCGCACGCCCAGCAGCAGGTGAACGAGTCCTCCGAGATCGGCAACGAGCCCAACAACGGCGTCGGGTGCGCGGAGGCGGAGGGCGGCGAGAGCTCCGGGTCGGCGGGCGAGGCGGGCTCGGCGGGCGAGGCGGAGGCGGAGGCGCAGTACTCGTGCTCGCGCTGCGAGTTCCGCGCCGAGGGCTTCGCGGCGCTGGAGGCGCACCTGCGCGCGGCGCACGGCGGCGCGGGCGCGCTGCTGGCCGTGCCGCGCGCGCCGCACGCGCCGCTCACCATGCAGCCCTTCGTGGTGGAGGAGGCGGGCGGCGCGCTCAGCCTGGTGCCGGCGCTGGTGTTCCTGCCCGTGCGGCGGCGGGCCACGCGCCGCGCCACCGTCACGCTCACGCTCACGCCGGCCTAGCCGCCCGCCGCCGCCGCCGCCGCCGCCGCCCGACGCACGCGCGCGCCCGCGGCCCGCGACTACACCGCCGCGTGCGCGCGCCTACGATCGCTGAACTGTACTAACTACATTTAACGCTGTGTGCCTTCAAGCGATTGCTGAAAAATATTATGAGACGTAATTATAATCGGAGAAGCTGTCCGCGGCCGCCCGCCCGAGCGCCACACCGCGCGGCGGCCCCCGGCCTCTTTTTTTTGTCAGAGTCTAACTTCATATATTGAGAATTATATTGAACGGGTGATATATGAAACGTTACCGCTTATAAATTCGATTATTTATTATTATCTCCTCGATGTTCCGTCGGGTCGGTCCGAGACGAGTTTTTGAAACGTCGATTTCGATCGGGAGAAGAAATACACCCTAGGAATAATTATTATTTAAACGTATTATATCGGTGAGTGCGCACTCACGATAGCGTCGTAGTACCGGTGCGATGTTGATCACTGAGCGAGCGCCTCGGTGGCACGACACGGCGGCGGCGAGCGTCGCCGCGCCGCGGACGGCTCGCCCTCCACCACAGTACGGGCCGACGAGCCGGGTGCCACTGCACCACGCCTCATACATGTACTACGACAACCGCTCTACCTCACGACGTTAGGTTTTATATTAGCTGTTATTGTATAAATTATATTTTCGAGTTACCATAAAGTACAAATATACTTACCGCGTTACTACGCCGCGCCGGACGGAGACCGGCGCCCATGTTACGAGTAGCTACTCGATACTATTTATTGTTGTCTACGAGTGACTTAAAGCACAAAGATACGTACTATTGGGCAGTGATCAACATTAAACGTAATTTTAGTATTAAATTTGATTAGATATGTGGTCGTGGGGCTCGGTCAGACTGTTTTTGTTGTGTAATACACCAATCATGATACGGGTCATTGTTTCGGGTCTGGATTTGGGCGCAGCTCTGTCCAGCCCCTTTAGTCGTTCGGCCGGGCTTTCATTTACACTTATTTGTATTGTAATCGATAACATAATATTATTATGTTACTGCAGGCGATACTGGTCTTACTCCTCTCCGATGTGACCCCTTTACCTTTAGAGTAATTAAACAATATATTTACAAATGTTTTAAAAACTATGTTTTCTACTATAGAATATCTAGGAAACACAATTATGAAGTCTCCAATTGTTCAAGGTTCGTTTACATGAATGAAAAGTTTTAAAGTAATTAATCAAGCGTAAACACCATTTACAAAAGACTGAAACGTAAACTATATACCTCAGCGGCGCAGTGGAGATGAATAAGACTAGGCGAGTGTTCGCCGAATATTATTATCTTGGTAATCAAGACTTATTTGATGGGTAAAAAGGTAACAAAGTTTGTTTAAATAATTCATTATTCGGTAGATCAGTGTGGAGGTTAGCTTGTACAAACCATGCAGCTTCTAAACAAAGTTCCTATGTATGTACGTAAGTTGTAATTTAAATTAAAAACTAGAGGTCGCGGTGGGAACGGCTCGGGAGCGGTCACTTAGAGGCTTGACACCTGATACTAAAAATAATGTTGTGATTGTTGATCAGGGTAAAGCTAAACATTACGCTTTTGTCGAACAAGACATTGTTGTTTTACAGTTCCACTTGTTTGAAGAAGTCCTTGTTGTACAAACGTAAATTTACGAAAACTCAGTGACGCAAAGCTATAATAGTTCCTAATAAACCTTGCCATTTAGACGCAAAACATTCTGGTCTGGTAATTTCGTACAGTTGTTATTCTCGATAGCCATCTTCCTACTAGTCTTCCTGCGAGAACAGCCAAATTCGCCCGCCGCTGCCGAGCCGAGACCGCCGCGCGCGATACAACAAATTATATTAATAACGTTTTAAATAATAACAAAATTAATAAAAAATGTACGCGTGGTGACGATCCAACGATGGCCGCGTAAGTTCTACACGAGAAGGGTATTGTGGAACCACACGCTATAGAGTTCAATGCCACAGTTTTTACTATTTGCGAAGTTACGCGACCATTACAGAGGAGTCTCATTGAATGTAGTGAAAATGTATCGGCATTGTGTTCAGAATTATTTCCCTAAACGCTTTGTACCTAGAGTGTGACATTAGACAGACGAACAATAGTACAAATTTAATATAAATATACCAATGCGTGAAAGGTAACGGAGGTTGGTGAACAAATAATAAATCAGTACAAATTATTATTAAGCGTAGTTTGTGAGGAGAAAGAAATGACTACAAATACATTAGAGTTATATCACTCGGGTACAAAGCACATAATCAGTTGTTACAGTCGCACCGTTATGCACTTTGATTTTCACCAATGTTAAAACTATAACAGAATTGTCTCTCAATTTATGATGTTTACAATTCCTATTTTGAATTAGTGTCAAACTATTTCGATTTTTATTTGTTAAATATAATGTAATTGAATTTTTGTGTAATTTATTTATTGTATTAACTAGTTTTTAAACAAAACAGATATTTTCATATAATATTAATTAGTGAAATGTGTAACAAAAATATTTGTAATAAAATAACAAAAATGTCAACAACAACACTTGGAATGCAGAACAATCTGCAGTCTGGGTGACTGTCGTGACAAGATTATATTTTTGAACTAATCTAAGATAGAACTGTGACTTTTCTGGAGATAATTCGAGTAAATTCCTAACAATAAAATTAGAAATACACTTTTTTTTTATTTTATAAAATATATAATAATTTTTCTATTTCACGTTTAACAAACATGTTTTGTAAACTTTTATTGTCGTTACAAAATTTTAAGGTAATATGAGAGTGGTTTTGTAAAACTAATAAAATATACATTCTATATAATGAAAAGTTCCTTTTAAGTCTTCTTTAAACATTCCAATAATTAGTCATTTCATATTATTTTAGTTGTAATATTATTCTAGTCGTTCTCGCTGATTTTTTATTTTTTTTTTTTATTTTTAAGGATATTTTTTAAGTGCGACTGTATAATAAATTCATACTAATGATTTGTCAAGTTAAGTATATAAAAACTGTGTTATTTCTAGTCAAATTATTTTATATATTTTACCAATGTGGAGACCGAATGATTTTAACCAAAAACATATACAAAATTAATGGAATTTCTACAGTTTTACAGCATTAAATTTTATAACTATCGACTTAAATAATTGGTGGAGGTCGATTTAAAAATTTAATAATAATTTTTCCAGTAAAATTTAAAAAGAAAATTTTGGAATCCACTTTTGGTAAAATTATATTTGAAATATATAAAGAGAATTATATTCTGGCTTTGGGAGAAAGCCAAACCTTATGCCGCAATCGTATTGTTACATTTGATTGTTATAAAAAAAAAGATATGTCTGTATATAATAATAGACAACTGAGTGTGTATTATAAAAGTTGTTAAAACGCTAAGTTGCCTGTTATTATAAGACAATGAACCAAATGACAAAAGATACGACCTTTGCCTGTTTACAAACAATAAAAAAAGCACGCTAGTGATGTGCAGTGTAGTTTATTAAAGTTCACAGATTATACCATGATTAATTATTAAAAAAAAAAAAAATAAAGAAACAAAGTTGCCTAAACACCAAATGTAACATGGCGGCTTGCGGTCGGTATATGTTCCTAGATCCGTCTGTTTGTTATGTATTTGTTTTCCATTAATAACTACGAAGCATTTCTACCGTATTCAATAAATTAAATATACAAATAATCCGCATTGTTTTCCTTGTGACACCTGTGTGTTCTCGAATCCATTAAATGTGACTAATGCACAGTAATTAGTCATTTTAAATATGGTTAATAACAATTAATGCTCTATAAATCGTAAATCTGACCCCAAATAAAATATTGCTGTCACTTATGGACGGGAACACCTAGATACCAGCTTAAACCCGTCGACTCAGTACAACTACGAGCTACAAGAATTGTCGATGATCCCAGGCTTGCAAGCGGTATCGAACTCTTAAGTCTTAGGGGAGATTTTGCCTCACTCTGCTTTTTCTACCGCTTGTACAATGGACTGTGCTCAGAGGAATTGTTCAACATGATGCCCACGACCATTTCTACTATCGACAGGGAGTTTACTCCCCTACTTTGAGTCTAGATGGTAGCGTAGAGCGCGGTTTCAGAGATGTTTTCTCCCACGAACACTCAGGTTATGGATCGTATCCCTGTCGAGATTTTTCCAAAAAACTACAGCATGGAATTCATCAAAAAGGGGTAAAGAGGTTACTTCAGGATCGGCATTATGCGCGTAATGCCCTTGATATTGCAGGCGTTCATAGACTACGGTAACCGCTTACAATCAGGTAGTGGTATAAAAAAAATGTCTGTTTCTCATTTCAGGAACTGTAGAGTTAATTATACATGTTTGTATATCCATTCTAAACTGAACTACCTGTATGAAGAATTAATACATTTCTAAAGTGAAGAAAGCTAATGAAGTATATGGAGGAACAACAAAGGTTGTGGTCTCTGTTCATCACAAAGGGAAAAGGTTTCCAAAATTAGTTGATGCTGGAGATTTTTGGCACTTGGTAGAATTTGGAAGTTAGCTTTATAAGGTTTTTTTATGCAACTTAGAATGGCAAACAAGCTGATGGCCCACCTGATGAAAGTGGTAACCGTCACCTATAGACATAAGCAGTACCATGGACATAACAGAGTATAGTGTTTCGTTCATAATACTCCCCATGTGTCGCCATTTCTGAGGACGCAGGTGTTATTTCTCTGTACCCTGTAAACTGCCATATCCCACCCTTTAAACCAGAGGGGAAAGGGATTGTTAGAAATGGTTTGGAACGGCCCCATTGCTAACAATACACCCTATCGACCTTTACGCGGTTTCTCTTGGAAACCATCGTGATTAATTCTTATTAAATTCTTCATGATAGGCCGACTGACCTGCCTTCGTCCTCACTAATCATGTATCACTGGTGCCCCGCCAGCATATACCGATAGCTCAGATGGGGTTACCATTCCATTTTCACCCTTTAAAAAAACCCTTCAAACTGAAACAGCCATGCAAACACAACTGCTTCACGGTAGAAACACGAATGGGACAGAGGTGCCTAAGCAAACGACTTTTGTACAGTCTCCCTCTGGTAATGGACAGTCTAGTCTCTGAACACTATAATGAGATTTATTAAACGTGCTTTGTTCTCGTTTGCGGCAATTGTTTCGACATTACTCGATCTGGAAGTCTCCTCCAGAGGGTGCATACTGCTTACGTAGCAACATCTACTCTTCATAATCATCATCTTCCTACCCTTATCCCAATCCATATTAAAAAAAAATATTACATATTCTTCACTTCAGAATATTTAAGGAAAATTATTTGTCGTTCATCTTTACACATATAGGGTGTCTTAATAATTTACCATAGCACAGTATTCGGCTTATGGTACCGGCATAGAAGAGGTCACCACTCCCCATGAGTGTCGTAAGAGGCTAAGGAAAGTTAATGTTTTTTTTTTTCATGGCTTAAGATGAAGTAGTAACACAGTAGTAGTGGGGGGAAGGGATTGTTAGTAATAGAGACTAAGAGCTCTATTGCTAGCAGTATACCCAACCAGATCGACCTCCCCGTGGTCTCCACTGGAAACCATCATGTTGAATACCAAGTTCTCAATAGATAACAATTCTCCGAACCCTGCATTCATAAAAAAATACGATTCAAAAGTGCTTGTGAACAATTCTATTTGAGTAGAGATGATTAGAATTTAAAATACAATAAATTTTTTTCTTAGATTTTATAGATCGAGCCTCAAAAACGGGTCAATTTTTTGTCAGCTAATTTTCAAATCAGCTAACTCTTTTTTTATCATAATTCTATATGTATTTATGCATAAGTATCAACTGACCTGCCTTTTTTCATTCTCACCTATCATCCCTCACTGGTGCTCCGCCAGCGTATACCGTTAGCGCAGGTGGGGTTACCATTCCATTATCATCTATTAAAAAAAAAACAGATTTAGATCTTATATAAAATTAATGAAAGAATATGACTTTCATACAAAAGATAATGATTGATCAGTATTTTGGTATTAAAACGTGATTCCGATATCTTCATCATCGCGTAGCCATCAATCGTTCATTGCTGGACATAGGCCTCCCCGTTGAGGCAACCCCCAGTTCCGATATTGATAGTGTATCTATTTTTTAAAATAGGCACAACGTTTAAATAGTAACAATTTTTAATAAATTCCAAGTTTAGGCCATTTCGCTACGGCACCTAATAGCCGAACACAAATTTTTTTTTTATTCCGTAAAATTTTCAATAAATAAATCATAGAGTTACGACCCCCACGCCAGAAAGTACGCCAAAAATGGTCTTAATTAAAGATTATGTCCGCGTCAACTGTCGGCTTTAGATTAATAAAAAAAAACACAGTTTTACAAAAAAAAAAACACCCGATTTTTGATAAAAAGCGACACCCATTAAAATCGCGACGCGAGGGTTGCATTGTTCGGCATCTGTCAAACGTATTAAGGGGGAAAATGTAGTGAAATTGTTGAAAAATGGGTTAAATGTTAAAAAAATAATGGCAAAACATTGAAATGGAGACGGGGTCGATGGGACCGCGGTGTCAACAGCGCACCGGTTAACCCAGCGTCGCCACGGTTGGTAACATTTGAACCGCGGTTCAATATTGTTGTGATAAGCATTTTATTAATATATTTATTGAAAACTTTTACAATTAAACGTTTGGTCGCTAGATAAAAAGAGCTACCTTTTCCTTTCTCGTAGGTGTCGTAAGAGGCGAGTAAAGGAGTATTACCAGAGGGAGACTTTGTACAAAAGTCGATTGCTTGGGTACCTCTGTTCCATTCGTGTTTCAACCGTGAAGCAGTTGTGTTTGCATGGCTGTGTTTCGGTTTGAAAGGTGGGATATGGCGTGAATTTATTGGGTACGGAGGAATAACACCTGAGTCCTCAGGAATGACAACGCATGGCGGGTACCATGGGCGAAACAGTATACTCTGTTATGTCCATGGTACTGCTCATGTCTATAGGCGACGGTTACCACTTTCCATCAGGTGGGCCGTCAGCTTGTTTGCCATTCTAAGTTGTATAAAATAAATACCGACTTTCAAAACCGGGTCAACTTTTGTCAGCTAATTGCCAAATTAGCTGACAAAAAGATGACCACTTTTTATATTAGTGTTTTATATACTTACGCATACAATGTATTTTGATGTGTCAATATTTATTTAATAAATAAAATGAGTTTTTGCGTATTAAAACGGCGCAGAATTTATAAGACAAAATAAATATAGAAGTTATAAAGGAATCACTCGTAACTATTTATCACGCAAATTTGTATGAAAAAGTTGACCCGCTTTTCTCGAAGCATTTGTATGGAGACACTCCATCTATATAATCTAAGGTTGTAATATATAATTAATGAGCAAGTAGCAGGCCATAGAGTAAAACGTGTCTCGGGCAGAAGCTTCTTTCAGAGGTTTCTGATTGCTGTCAAAAATTAGGTATGTTTAGTTACATAGGTAAAGTTCGAAACGCGGGCGCATATTTTTAGTAGTTATTATGAAGTTATAAAACGTATTCATTGATATCAAAGCCCTTCTACACTAAACCCTGTCAAAATACCTCCAATCTGTCTTCGTCGACTGTCTCAAATTGTTCGATAAAAATGAAGGAACAGCGAATCGATATGGAATAAATACATAAATATAAGCTCATTGATTTTGAAGTCCATAGATAGGTATGCATCGTATCCAGAGGCGACGCAAAAAAATACATGCGAACTGAGAACTGAGTAAAAAATATAGAACACCATATGGTGTTAAGTTCGTCAAATTTACATATATTTACACTGTGCATTAAAGTTTAAAGCAGGCCGTGTGATCCCGGCATAGAATAGGCCTTCTTTTCCCTTCTTTCCCTGTGGGTGTTATAAGAGGCGTCTAAAAGAGGGCTTGCCCTCCCTGGGGGGAAAGGGATTGTTAGTAATGGAGACTGAGAATCCCATTGCTAGCAATATAGCCAACCAGGTCGACCTCCTCGGCGTTCCCCTTTGAAACTATCATGGTTAATTCCTGATGAATTCATCATGATGAGTTAGCCCATCATGATGAATGTCTGGTCTGTTTTCATTCTCATCTATCACCCTTCACTGGTGCTCCGCCAGCGTATCCCGTTAGCGCAGGCGGGGTTACCATACCATTTTCACCCATAAAAAAACAGGATTTCTCTAGCATGGAGGCCAGATATACTTACTGTGTATCTTGTAATTGTATCTGTATATTTTTGTTGATTTTTATGATTATTATGAGGATTTTGGGTGTACCTAACCCACAGACTGCAGGGGAAATGGATTGTTAGTAATGGGGTCTGATTTCCCCATGACCAGCATTACACCCTATCAGGTCGACCTCTACGCGGTTCCCCCTGGAAACTATCGAGATTAATTCTAGTGGAATTCATCACGATTGGCTAACTAACCTGCTTTTTCATCCTCACCTAACATCCCTCCCTGGTGCCCCGCCAGCGTATACTTATAGCACAGGCGGGGTTACCATTCCCTTATCACACATAAAAAAAAACCACAGACTGCACGTATAAAAGGATGTATAGGCGGGCCGTCAGCGTCTTTGTCATTCTAAGTATTAAAAAAAAAAACAATAAATGCTTATTAACATTACAGTTGCGGTTTGCCAGATATAACCAAATGTCTCACGTACTTGTGACCTAATTATCGTAATGAATAATGTCCGATGACGTTTAAACATACAGCAATTGCGCAAGTAACGATAACCCAATATATAATTTTATTAAGCCAATGACACCTACGCAAATTGATTACTGGAAACAGCGATGGTACCAGTTTACATATTTATTGGATTAATATATTTCTTTTTTACAATACAGGGGGCAAACGAGCATGCGGCTCCCTAAATGGTAAGTGACTACCGCCGCCCATGATCACCCACAACACCAGCGGCATTGCAGGTATGCTACCGGCCTTTTAAAAAGAAATATGCTCTTTTCTTGAAGGTTATGTTGTCGTATCGGTTCGGAAATACTGCTGCTGGAAGTTGATTCCAAAGAATGTGCTTTAAAAAACGCACGGTGGAGGACCGCCACTCGTCCAGATGGTTGGGATGAAACTTTAGTTTATGGCGGGTTGTACAATGGTGAAAATAAGCAGCAGATATCAATCCAAACAATTCCTCAGAATACTCCCCATAATAAATTCTGTAGAAGATGCACAAAGACGAAACATGCCTACGCAGTTTTAGAGAGTGGAGCCGGATAGTAAGGCGCTGATTATCAATAATTCGAGTCGCCCGACTTTAAATGCGGTCTAACGGAAGGAGCTGGTACTGTGGCGCTCCTGCCCACTGTGACTATATAAATCTTAAAAGATAAAGTATGTACTTACACAATCCATTGTAATAAAAGCAAATCAACAATACATAATCAATCATCTAATAATATTTCCATTTTGACGCTCATTTTATTTATAAAAGCACAGAAATCTATTTTATAAAAAAAAAACACGACACGTAAAAAAGAAAATCCGTTGCGGTGTAAAAAATATCTCTAAATCATTTTCTAAAAAGCCATTGTTGTTACTTTAAACCCTTGCTTTTTCCCAACACGCGACATGCGCGCGCCGACGTTTTATTAAAAAAGCGAATACAAAAAAAAAAAAACTTTAATTCGCTAAAGTACGTACCAGTGACCTACATACACCCCATGTTATTTTTTCCAAAAATCTGTAAAAGCACCCTTTTATTAGATCTGTTCCTCTATCGAGTAATTGAATTCAATCCTTCGGAAAAGGGTTTTGGCAAAATACCCGTTATTAAGCTTTTTTTTTTATCTGTACTCGCGCGTCGAATTCTTTGGGACTTCAAATGTCATTGTTGCGCGCCAAAAATTATACGTTCTGTCAAAATTTCGCGCCATTTACTTCGTCCAACATCTGCCGAGACGAAAAAACTTAAACACAATGCAAATAGGGGTGGGACGCGTGCAGGACATTAATTTTTAGGGGACATCGACGTTTTTGATGTAAAAGAGAAAATGCATTTAAAATATAACGAAATATGTCCCCTCATTTTAATAAAAGGTAATGTTTTGAGCGATTATAAACGACATTGTAACTGTATTTAAATTCACAATCGCCTGAAGTTCCCTCTTTACATCTTTTCCGTCATCATCGTTAAGCAATCGTTAAGTTTTTATTATTTCCGAGAGTTTATGGCTATGCAAAATGACATCGAATCAATGCACTAATGGTCATTTTATTGATTTACATAAACTCTTAAAATATATTAATTATTAATAATATTATAAATATGAAAGTGAGTTTGTTTGTTATCTTATAGCGTTTTAACGGTTTAAACAATCACTATGAAATTTGGTATAAATGTATTTATTTATTTATTTTTAAATGTACTATATGAGATGGAGAAGTGTAGGCTACTTTTTATGCAGGCCAATAAACTGTCACGCGGACAAAGTCGCGGTTAAAAACTAGTACACACTAAATTAAGGTACTTGCCTACCCTATTACATTACACTTAAAAATACTTAAAGTATGTACGTAGTCAAAGTTAATAATTTTATAAAACATTTTATATCACATTTTTACATTATCTATGCAAAAATATGACAACTGCTCACTGCTGTGTGTTCAGCCCTCCTTAATAAGGACCTCCTTAATAACCACGCTTGGCAGGCAAGTTGGCTAACGCAGTTAGGCTTTGGTGATGTTTTAAGAGGGACGCTGCTGCCCATATCTCGAGCATTAAGTTCCCTTAGTCACTCATTACAACAACCATGGAAAAGAAACAGTTGGCCCATTCTATGCTGGAACCATACGGCAGGTTAGTACATATGAAATATATTAACTACTTTTTAGGATGTGAGGGGGGGGGGGATGGATTGTTAGTAATGGGATCAAATAGGCTCGTAATGGGGTCAAATAGCCCTATTACTAGCATATATATGCCTTTTCAGGTCGACCTCCACGTGATTTCCCTTCGAAACCATCTTGGTTAATTCTAGTTGAATTCGTCAGGATGGGCTAACTGACCTATATTCATCCTCACCTGTCATCTTTCACTGGTGCTTCGCCAGCATATACCGATAGCGCAGGCGGGGTTACCATTCCATTATCATCCATAAAAAAAAAAAAACTACTTTTTAGGGGCACTTTGAGAGTGGATGAAACAATATGAGTTACAGGAATGGCAACGCATGAGGGGTATCATAGGCGAATGTCTATAGGCGACGTTACCATTTTCCATCAGGTGGGCAGTCAGCTTTTGCCATTCTAACTTGTATAAAAAGAAACATACTCTTGTAATTTTATAAAGCACTCTGTTCTCTCTGTCCAAATATTTTTAAAAGAAAATACCATTTAAAATTCACTTGCACAGTATATTAACATCAAACATCATAGTACATATAATCCATGAGTAGAGTAGCCGCCAGGAGCAACGCCTTCTCTTCCACCATCAGTTTCCTTTCAAATGCTACGCCGAATCTGCAAATAAAATTTGTAATATTTCCATTAAAAAGTGTAAAGTATAATCGAATAAATTAAGATTATTTAAAAAAAAAACTATGAATGTTATATGTATTACCCTTATTTGCATAATGGTGAAAATTTCCATCATAACTTTGAATGCCCAAAAATTATATAAAAGAACAAGTTCACTTTAAGTTGATCGTGTCTCGATACCTTTTTAATGTCCATTATAGAAAAAAAATATAGCTGTAAATTTTTTTTTTAACATTTTTCCTTTAATTTTGAACATGAATTATATCAGCTTGATTTATTTCACCAATAAAAAAAAAACCAGGCAAAGAATGGTTAAAAAACAAAAAGAAAAATCTGGCGGTTCAGAATTGATAAAAATATAGTGTGCATGCGCAGAAGAATAATTGAAGATTTTGTTCCACGAGAAAACACCGACTACAATCGTTGCAAAACTATAAAAGTTATTTCGATTTAGAAACTAAAAAGACTTCCGGATGATGTCGGAAAAGACAAACATAATAAATTCATAAAATAAAAAAGCATATGTATGAAAGAAACTTATTTACATTTATGGACACTTAGTTACATTGAAATCACTAGAGGGAGACTATACAAAAGTCGTTTGCTTGGCCACCTCTGCCCCATTCGTGTTTCAACCGTGAAACAGTTGTGTTTACATGGCTGTGTTTCGGTTTGAAGGGTGGGATATGGCAATGAATTTACAGGGTACAGAGGAATAACACCTGAATCCTCAAGAATGGCAACGCATGGGGGGTATCATGGGCGAAACAGTATACTCTGTTATGTCCATGGTACTGCTCATGTCTATAGGCGACAGTTACCACTTTCCATCAGGTTGCGCTTGTTGCTTATTTGCTATTCTACGTTGCATAAAAAAATACCTTAAAAATTAATTTAATTTCTTGAGATATCTTCAAAATTAATTAAAATTACAAGATTATATCTAGACGTTGACCTGTCAGTAACCGGTGCTAGGAACAGCGCGTGGGTGAGACCTTGCCAGCGTTTGCAGGTGGCGCCGGTCGCGCTGCCGTCTGGTCTCATGATGGTGAACTGGACATCTCTGAATAAGCTCAGGGTGATGTATGGACCTAGATAAATGTTCGGGTTGGTACTATAGCATGGCATTGGTAATATGGATGCGAGGTTGGGGGGAGATTGAAGTAATGCGGATTATCAGTTCCATTGCTAGTAATATAGGGTATCAGGTCGACCTCCACCTGGTCTCCTGGTCATAACGATGAGCTAACTGACCTGCCTTTTCATCTCACCTATCATCCTTCATTGGTGCCCCGCCAGCGTATACCGTTAGTACAGGCGGGGTTACCATTTCATTATCATCCATTAACCCTTAAATACCTGAAGTTTCAAATTTGATACCGGAGTTATAAATCGCATTGGGCGCCTACAATCGATTTTATTTTAATATTTGGCTGTTAACATGTTACCAAATGTTTTTTTTTTTTCAAAATTAATATATCGTTTGGATTTTTTTACTATTTTTCCCCATTAGTAAACACAGTAAAGGGTATACTTATATATTTTTTATTGGATTTAAAAAATCAGGCTTTTAAGAGTTAAAAAAATATGGATACCGATCAGATAACTATATATTAGGTTTCTATGTACACTGACGGCCGAAGAAAAGTCATCACCCATTTCGATATCGTCAATACCGGTCGAATATCTATTTTTGAATAAGTTTTTTTTTGATGGGTGAAAATGGTATGGTAACCCCGCCTGCGCTAACGGGATAAGCTGACGCAGCACCATTGAAGGGTGATAGAGATGAGAATGAAAACAGGCCAGTTAGTCCATCATGATGAATTCATCAGGAATTAACCATGATAGTTTCCAGGGGGAACCGCGAGGAGGTCGACCTTGTTGGGTATATTGCTAGCAATGGGATTCTCAGTTTCCATTACTAATAATCCCTTTCCCCCCTTTTGAATATGTTAGAAGCCTGTTACCCGATATTATTTTTTTGATAATAGACTTTTAACATATTCGTTATTGGACCAGTGTATGTAACCCAAATATATGGATGTTGCTATATAATATCCAGCCCTAGTACTCCCTGCAGTATATATGTGGGAGCGTCTGAGTTTATCTTATGATTTACTGTGTAACGGCGACTGTACACAATTACAACAACAAGTACAATATTATTTAAAGGGGGACTTGGAGAAATGTGATTTTTTTTTGGAAATTTTGGATAATAGTTTTAATACATGTACAACTCTATAGAAATATATAACATATAATGCAGTAAAATATATTAATGAAAGTACTCGTACATACCAGATAATAGGTCAAGAGAAGGAGAAGGAAATATAAGCTAAAAGTAGAAACAGAAAGAATGCCAATTTTTCAGTCGTTAATTTTTTTTACACAACTATCATGGCAAACAGGCATATGGCCCACTTGATGGTAAGCGATTACCGTAGCCTATAAACGCCTGCAATACGCAAGGGCATTACGCGCACGTTGCCGACCTTGAAGCGACCCCTTTACCCCTTTTTTGTGGCACATGTCAAAATGTAGTGAAAAATTATACAACTTTGTGATAGAGTAAAACTCTTGGAAATCGTATCGATCATAATCCAAATCTGGCAACCCTGACCATGCCTGTAGAGATAGATAATATCTGGTATCTATATATTGAGTTCTATTGGACATCTCTAAAAACTCTAAAAAGCAAAAGACATTGTCATATGATTAGAGTCACAAAGTGTAACACAACAGTATACAATAATAGTATATTCTGCATGGGTCTGAAAGTATACAATAAATTGCCCCAATATATAAAAGACATTAATCATTTGCATCTATTTAAGAAGGAACTAAAGAAGATACTAATTGACAAAGCATACTGCACTCTAAATGAATATATGACAGATAGTTTTAAAAATTAAACAAACGATAAATGACTGCGTTGTATTCCCATGAGACAAGAAATAAGACAAATTTTGATGTAGTGGTTTTCTTTTTTTTTTTTCTGTAATCTATAATAATGAAGACATTGTGATATATGAAATATAGTAATATTTATATTAAGAGAAGATTTGCACGCCATTTATGGTAAAATATGGAGGCGTAATAACCTATTAATGTAACATCTGTAATAACCCATATTTGAGCAAATAAATTATATTATTATTATTATTATCGATGACCACTTTGTCCGAAAGTCGTTCGCTTGGGTACCTCTGTCCCATTCGTGTTTCTACCGTGAAGCAGTTGTGTTTGCATGGCTATGTTTCAGTTGGAAGGGTGGGATATGGCGTGAATTTACTGGGTACAGAGGATTAACACCTGAGTCCTCAGGAATGGCAACGCATGGGGGGTATCATGGGCGAAACAGTATGTGTGTGTACTGTTATGTCCACGGTACTGGTCATGTCTATAGGCAACGGTTACCACTTTTCATCAGGTGGGCCGTCAGCTTGTTTAACATTCGTATAAAAAAAAAGCCATTGCGATATCGCCCGCACCAGTCGGATATTTATATTCATTACGAATAAGTTCATCTTATAGATATTATATATCGAATAACCGATATATACTTATAATAAACATGTAGAGAGGTCATTTCTGTACATGACATCAGGTGGACCGTCAGCTTGTTTGCCATTCTAAGTTGTATAAAAAAAACATTCATTTGTATATACAGTCTAGGCATAAGCAATATGGATACCAGGGCTTGGATTGTTAGTAATGGGGAGGTTAGTCCCCATTGCTATTAATATACCGTATAAGGCCCACTTGAAGAAAAATTGAAACCATGGTTGATAGACATGGGATTCACTTGCTATACTGTGACGTCTTTAGTAGTTACCTCTTATACGTTGCTAATCCTGGAGTTTAAATCTATACTTATAATAAATCTGTAGAGAGGTCAATTCTGTACATGAAATATATTTGCAAAATAACTATCAGCGGGTGATTAGTGATCGATACTGATGCCAAAAATGCAATCAGTAAAATTTTTGTCTGTCTGTCTGTATGTTTGTTATAGAAACAAAAACTACTTGACGGATTTTAACGAAACTTGGTACAATTATTCTTCATACTCCTGGGCAGGTTATAGTATACTTTTCATCACGCTACGATGAATAGGAGCAGAGCAGTGAAGGGAAATGTTGGGAAAATGGGAGAAGTTACTCCATTTTTAAAACTTCCGTCGCGTGTGCAGCCTTAATGGCCACTTTTTAAAATGTAAAAAATGTCCACCCGTGCGACGCCGGGACGAGCCGCTAGTATCTAATATATCTGTCATGAGCCAATATATGTATACATATTGTAACTACAATATATAGGCATTATTAGATATTACGCACCAGTATTTATCTTGCTTTTATATAATTAAGTATATATTTTGTTTGTTTTTTTTTTTTTTTTTTTTTTTTATGCCACTTAGAATGGCAAACAAGCTGACGGCCCACCTGATGGAAAGTGGTAACCGTTGCCTATAGACATGAGCAGTACTATGGACATAACAGAGTATACTGTTTCGCCCATGATACTCCCCATGCGTTGCCACTCCTGAGGACTCAGGTGTTACTCCTCTGTACCCAGTAAATTCACGCCATATCCCACCCTTCAAACCGAAACACAGTCATGCCAACACAACTGCTTCACGGTTGAAACACGAATGGGACAGAGGTACCCAAGCAATCGACTTTTGTACAAAGTCTCCCTCTGGTAAATATGGTTGTGTACATATTGTTATTCTTTATAATCTGTATCTGTATCGTCCCAAACGGCGCTTCAATCGATCGATTATTCGATTCTTAATCGAATGTCCACACCTCGCGGATATGAAGCGATTACATTATTATTAAGTTGGTGGGTAGTTAGTGAACTAGTCCGTGCACTCGGCTTGAGATCACGTACCTTCGCGAATCAAGAGCATTATAACTGAACACTGATCTTGGAGACCTTCATATTAAAGATCAAATATTGTATATTTAAAGATATTTGTGTAGGCCTACCAATCAAGAATCTATAACAGCATCCAGTCAAAGGTGGAAAGCAGTGCGGCGCATGAGATTTCATCAAGTAAGTGCACGTACCTTTTTTTCTTTTATACCACTGAGGTGGCAAACAAGCATACGTCCCACCTGATGGTAAGTGGTTACCGTAGCCTATGAACACCTGCAACACCAGAGGTATTACGCGCGCGTTGCCGACCCTGAAGAAACCTCTTTACCCCTCTTTTGAAGAACCCCATGCTGTAGTCTCTTGGGAAAATCTCGGCAGGGAGCTCATTCCACAACCTGAGTGTTCGTGGGTGTGGGTGTTCAACCTGAGTGTACATTACCTTCTTAAATATTGTAATCGCTTCATCCTCATTATCAGAAGTAAGGACAAACGTATTCCCACCGCTTAACGGTGTCCCTACAGTATCATTCTTTTAAGAGAACAATAAAGAGTTTTCATTCATTCGAGTATTTTTTATTTTCACTTACCTCGTATCCAGAACATATTGATCCCGTCCACATCCTTAACGAGGTACAGTGGTCTGACTGCGGCCCACTGCTGTTCTATTGTCCCCACGAGATGTCCGGGCGGTGCGAACACCTCGATGCGCTGCAGCTGGCAGGGCAGCACCCTGGCCGTGCACGCGTAAGGCCTGTTTATCCTCATGACCTCCGCACCTTCCCTGTTTGTGACCTTGAGCTGCAGTGGACGGAGGCCGTAGCAAATGTAGCCAACCCACCAACTGTGACAATATTTTGTATTCCTGTTTACAAACACTGTTTAAATCGTATTTTTTTCAATCAGGGGTATATATATATATATATATATATATATATATATATATATATATATATATATATATATATATATATATATATATATATATATATATATATATATATATATATATATATATATATATATAAATTACCAGCCGTATCTCGATTCTATTCATTCTATATGTTGAGTTGGGATGTAACCTATCCGTGTCCGTGTCGTTTAGTAGTCATTACGGAATTGGTTATACACATACTATTTGGGATTTGCCGTGCGATCCAACACAGAATGATAGCTCATTCTGTGCTAGCCCACTTCCTTTCCCGTGGGTATAATAGGAGGCGACTAAGAGAACATAATGGTCGAGGGATGGACCGCAGCGTCCTTAAAACATCATCAAAGTCTAACTACGGTTGTCAACCCGTCTGCCAAGCGTGGGACCTACTAGCAAAATATCTCTTTGGGAGAGACCTATGTCCAGCAGTGGACAGTTATGGGCTGATACGACACTATTTGGGATACAGACAGGCATAGGATACTATCTTATCTATACGAACCGATACGACAATATAACCTTCAAGAAAAGAGCATATTCCTTTTTAAAAGGCCGGCAGCACACCTGCAACGCCGTAGGTGTTGTGGGTGACCATGGGCGGCGGTAGTCACTTACCATCAGGTGAGCCGCATGCTCGTTTGCCCCCTGTGTTGTAAAAAAAATCTTATTCTATTATTTTATATTCCAATCAATCAATTTATCTATCACGTAAACGAAGTCGCGGGTTAACACTAGTTATAAATAAATAAAACCTATTCTCCTCCTCGACTGTGTAGACGAGCTCTTGTTCGGGTGTTCTGATGAAGAACCTGTTCTTTATGCCCCTGAGGAAGAGTACACTCTTTACTCGGAGACGCTTAGTGATAAGCAGTCGGTCTACTGGAGCCAGCTCATGGAGTATGTGGGGAGGAGCGGCGACCTGATAGTATACAATACAAAATGAAACTCGGGGAGAAATAACAGGGCATTTTTTTGATGGGTGATAATGAAATGGTAACCCCGTGTAAACACACTCGTGTGTGTGTGCGTGTGCGTGTGCGTGTGCGTGTGCGTGTGCGTGCGCGTGCGACGGCGCGTGCGTATATAAAATTTAAGTTGCAAAAAAATTGAGACTCTTCTACTTATTGCAGTAGATTGAAAATAGCAAAAAAATCATGTATTTATTATATTTTTGATTTTAATTCGTATACGTTCAGAATTTGTATTTAGTTTAATTTAAATATTTTATTTATTCTATCAAATCCTCTACAAAATGTTTCTGATTGTTCTTCGATTGATTTTCAAAATGTAATTTCTCGCTATCTGTTTGACCATTTCATTATTTTTTTTATACTAACATTTGAAATTGGAAATTGTTACTAACAAAATGGACCAAACTGTAGTCAGAATAATAAAGTATTATTATAAATGTGTTTTAATTATGAGTTCTTTAACCAACAAAAAAAAGTAAAAAAAAATAATTCGTTGAAAAGTAAAATCAACTGGTCTACTCTTGAATCTAATATCAATATCAGTCCAAACTATTGCCAAGGATAATTTAATACAGTACTCAAAAACAACAGAAATTAGATTATATTTGGGACCCATTTATTATAGTTTGCATTGGCAAGTTACATTATGTCGCTAGTACTAGAGAGTGCAAAACGTCTCAATTTCAATTTCGCTTTATTGGAATTGGAGAAGTTCAAATTCAAAATTTCAAAATATCAAAATATCTTTATTCATGTACTCGTAGGTCTATTCCAGACCCTTATGTTATGTCAAATCTACCGTCAGTTCGGAATGATATCGAGATGAGAAGAACCGACAAGAAACTCGGCTCGTATCTCTTCAAATAAGAAGCTTGTTGAGAATTAAAAGTGAAAAAAAAACTTATATTTACTTATATTTTATAATTATATTTACACTTATAACGATGGAATTTGATATAATTACCTATATGTATACTTAAGTCTAGTTTTTTTTTATTTGAAAATTGTCACATTGTACACCGCTCTACTCGCTGACATTGATGCTCCTTCCCACTTTGGGTGTTACTGGAAGAGAACTCTTTTAGAGTTAAGCTCCCCTTTGTACATTTACTTACCTCTGTCATATTTTATATTTATTCTTAGTGTGTACAATAAAGTAAAAATAAATAAATAAATAGTAAAAAATCCCTTAGCTGCCTTAATTGCCTGCACTTCAGGAATAATCCGCTTCGCAGCCTCCGGGAACGAAGCTGGAGTGGCCGGGATCGTTGACGCTTGCATCATTGTGATTGTTCAACTCAGCAAAGTATTGATAAATGTATTTAACTAGTTAATTATTTCATATTTTTATTCTTCTACATTCTACAACAATCCCTCATGTTGACTGACAACATCGTAATGACGTGAAACGATGTAATTTTTTGGAAATATAAATAAGATCTAATTTAAATCCGATGGCTGTATAGACTGAGGCCCTTTGCTTTACACAATTTGGATAACGAAAGATATTGTAATATATTTTTTGAAAGAACATTTTTATAAGAACGATTTTTACCGTCAAATAATCTTTACTTGTATGTTTATGTTATTTATTATATATTTTGTAAAACAAATAATGTTTAACGAAATATTAATACGACGAGTATCTATATTATATATATTATTACGCCTGTGTCCTATTAGGGTAGACAGAAACAATGAAACACCAAATGCTTCAAACTCGAACAATAACTCTGTTATAATAAATACCTGTCTGGTTTAGCCGTTGAGGCATTTTCAAAGATCTATTTACAAGAGAAGGGATTCTTTATAATGTAGATTACCAGTCCTATTGCTAGCAATATACCCTAACAGGATCACTTCCCCACGGTCCTCCTGAAACCATCATGCTGAATTCCAGGCCAATTTCCAAGATTCCTATTATCCCACACTGGTGCCCTGCCAGCGTATATCGTTAGCGCAGGCGGGGATACGGTTTCATTTCCATCCATGGTTTTTTCCATGCAATCTTAAATTAACAAGTCGGTTAGTGGGCAGACAATTTATCGGAAAAAAATATATTAAAATATCATGTAGATTTTTTTAGTCATATTTGGTTTAAGTGATGAATTTAAAATAAAGAATATAAAATATTGGTGCAAATCCAGTAGGTATTTATTTTTGTTAATGGCAACTCCCCATAGAGCGACGACCATAAAATAAAATTATGCGAACATGATACAAATCCATGCAAATGGGGCATTATTATTACAAATGGGGGACTTCATTTAAATTTGTGAAAAAACTAGGAAACTGTATCGCTTTTATCAATCGCTGCAACAATGCGCGTGCGCACAATGCGCTGTAGGGCGCCCACGGGTTCGATTTCTGGACAGTTTGTCCTTTCGAAAACGTAGTTATTATTGTAATGTAAAATTAAAAATAAATAATTAAAATAAAATGCATTAAATATATTTTATATTAATTAACTGATATAAATATTTTTTTAATATATTAATACAACTGAATTAAATTAATAATTTTAATATAATATTAATTAAAAAAAAATGTTATATACCTAAATTAATTACCACAAATAATTATTGTAAATGTAATTTTCTTACAAGTGTAACAAAATTAGATTTTTTATTTCTCTGTTAATTATCTAAAACTAATGTTTTTGTGACAAACGGTGACACTTTCCCACTTATTACCTGGTGGGTTTTATAGGAGACAAATCTAAGGATATAAGGATATAAGGACTCACCGTCTTGTCGTGGGCTATCATATGATGTCCTGTGCGGGCGCCTTGATTCCTTCCGTCACTTTGTCACCAATGTACACACACAAAATATTGTCTATAAACACAGCACTTCAAATTATGAAAGCAGTAACCACATTTACAGCACAACAATGTTATTAATATTTTTTTATACGTAGTTGCTCGTCGATTGCGGAGGTCACATTGACGGTTAAGATTGAAGACAGCTCTGAAGTTTCTTATAATCTTCCAGCGTCCTCATTGGTTGTTGTAACTAGGAGGTAAAGACGATGACGGTGATTAGATAGGATAGGATCAAGGGAAACGAATTTAGCACTAGGTACCGACTATTAGTATTGAACTAGCATATAAAACATTATTAACAAGAATAAATTTATAATAATATTATTTAAAAATATATAAAATTAAAGAAATGCGCGAACATTACCTACTAGTATATTTTAGTACTACCTCCAATTGCGCTCAGTAATGGTTTAGATCGGTTTGTATTTTTAGTCAAACGAATAAAATACAATATTCTTTATTACTCATATCTAGAAACCATCAAATCATACTATTAACTTTGAAAATATCCCGTTTCGCGCACAACATATACTCACCGCTCGTTTTAATGTGCGCACGCGCCATCCCAAGCAGACATTTTATGCAAAAACGCAAATTTCGTTCGAAATTTGAAACGGTCCATTGTTGCCAGTTTCGATGAATAAAAATAATCGCAATTTTGGGGAGGAAATGCATCAATTGCGCAGGTCCTAAGTTTAGTAAAATAATTGGTTCGCATGACGCACTATCGATATAATATCGTATCGAGCCGACCAAGAAAAAAATAATTTCTAAATTCAAAATATAAAATTGGACGAAAAGTCTAATTTAGTAAACTTGTCCACGGATTACAGTGACTGTTTACCGTCAGACGGGCTGAATACTTGTTTGCCGGGGGGAAAGGGATTGTTAGTAATGGATATTGAGAATCCCATTGCTAACAATATACCCAACCAGGTCGACCTCCTCGCGGTTCCCTCTGGAAACTATCATGGTTTTATGAATTTATCACTAATGAATTCATCATGATGGGCTAATATGATGGTCTGTTTTCATTCTCATCTATCACCCTTCACTGGTGCTCCGCCAGCGTGTCCCGTTAGCGCAGGCGGGGTCACCACACCATTTTCACCCATCAAAAAAAAAACTTGTTTGCCACCTTTGTGGCATAAAAAATACTTGTAGAAGTCAATAGGTACAATTTACCAATTCAATCAATAAGTAATGTTATTTTTGTTGACAAATCTAACTTATCATAGTAAAATAACCCCACTAACATACCTCAAAAGTCTCGACTTCGAATGTTGGCCACAAAAACTGTGTTAAATATTAGGTAACAAACATATATAGGTATATAAGGTAACAAACTGTATCTCCGGCGATAGAAAATTAAGTAAGTAATTAAATTAATGAATGTAGAAACACTCCCCGTCATAATGATGATCATGATTCCAGTATGTTTAACGAACTTATTAAATGGTTTTTTTTTTCTTTCTTTCAAATATAAGCACAGCGAGTATTACATTGATTAAAGAAACTTGATTTTTATATTTCTGACTAGCGGCCTTTCCAGCTTCGCACGGGTGGACATTTCTACAACATTTTAAAAAGTGGTTATTGTGACATAACGATAATAGTTCGACATATAGTATCGCGAAGTTTTTTGTAGCTATTGATATTTTCTTCAATATTGTAGAACATACTTGTGTTCTATCACCAATAGTTTCCGCAGCGCGCGCGACCAAAGATATTTTATAGCATTTTTTTACACCTTGAGTTACGTTACTAAAGTTTCAGTAAGGATCCCTAATCTTTTCTAGCAATAAATATAGCTTATGTTACTCAGGGTGAATGTAGCTTTGTAATGGTGAAAGATTTTTTTTTTTATTAATTTAAGGTATATATACACAACAGGTATGGTTCTTGCTGAAAAACAGCGCTGTAGCGCTTCAAGCGCTGCAGCAATATGCTGAGCACGGACCTACATCACAGAACATTGCGACACACACGCGCGCACGCGTACATTATAATTTAATTGCTATCTATTTGTATATAATCATTATTTTCTTTTGTTTGTTTTGTTTTTGATTTCTTTTGTTTTTGTTTTGTGCGCTACTGTGTGGGCCGCATGTTTCTTTTGATTAAATTATTTCTTTCTTTCTTTCTTTCTTTCTTTTTCTTTCAACAGGTTACAACCAATAACATTATAAACGTTTATATAAAGATAATAGTTTGAACTGGATTGAGACCGAGACAGGTGTACACACAGCATGGTTAAAGCAGTCGGCAAACAATGTTAAATTATAAAGTTATATAAAAAAAAAACATATGAATGAAGTAAATAACAATGAAGTACATGCAAGTAATAATTGAAATGGGCAAAGTAGTTTTTGAGTTTATTCATTACTAACATACATACAAAAATACAAATCTTTCCTCTTTATAATATTAGTGTAGATGTAGAAGTATATATGTAAAAAATTATCGTAGTAGGTAAGTATATATGTAATTAAATATAAATATCGATAAAGATTTGGCACAATAATTCACATCACTATAGATTGCAATTATTCCTGCGCCGGAGTGTGGCGAATTGAATAAAATTAACGACAGTTTTTATGCAAGCGACATTTGAATCAATAAGGATTTTTGCATGGTCAAACGGATTATTGATTATTTCAATACCGCATCTGGTCTAAATAATTTGGGGTAGTCGCAAAATGGCCAGGGTTGTGTGAATTTTTGTAATTAATATAATTTATACAATATTATAACCTTGTGGACCCGGCATAGGATGGACCACCCTTTCGTTTCTCGTGGATGTCGTAAGAGGTAAGGGAACTGAATGGTCAAAGGATGGGCCGCAGCGTTCCTCTGACAACGTCGCCAAAGTCTAACTGCGGTTGCTAACTTACAACAAAAGTACAAATGTTCCCTTATGGGGAAGGCTTATGTTTATAAGTAGACAATTAATAGCTGATATAATACCGCGACTTTGTCCGCATGTTCAAAATTTGTGTACTGACCGGGATAAAACAAACCTACAGTATGTCTTTTTCCATCCAATATAGTAGATGTATAAATTTAATAGTGACTGATTAAGCCGTTAACACGCTATAAGGTAACAAACAAACAAACAAATTTTCACGTTTATTATATTTTTTTAAAACTTTGAGCTTTAAAATTCTTTTTTTAAAATTCAAATACGACTATATTTAAAGGAAATACAGCTACTTGAAAAATCTAAAAAAATTTGTAATTTTTTCTGATCCCTTAATTTTTTCCACTAGTGATAGTAATATATATAATAGTAAACTATAATAATAAAATAATATTTAGATACAAAATGGCGGAAGCAAAGTTGTTGCATGTCAACACACATACTTTACAAGATTTTTTTGTCTCAGTTTCAGGAAACTATAAAAAAAATTGTGATAGATTCATGAAAATTTAATACTGGTGGGCTTACTGATCTGCTTTCATTCTCACCTATCATCCTCCACTAGTATCCCACTAGCGTAAAACAATAACGCATGTATAATTGCTATTCCATTTTCATTCATAAAAAAATGGATGGTTCGAAAGACAATTGGGTAAGAGTCATTGCTAGCAATATACCCTGTCAGGTCGACCTCCCCATGGTCCTCCCTGGAGTCTTTCGTGCTGAATTTCAGGTGTATTCATCACGGTGGGCTAACTGATCTGCCTCTTCATTCTCACCTATCACCTCTCACTGGTGCCGTGCCAGCGTATACCGTTAGTATATGTAAAAATACCATTCCGTTATTATTCATTAAAAGGGCGACGGGAGGGAGGAGGTGAAGGGGGGGGGGGGGGGTTTAGTTAATTTATGATCAATGAACGGCTGAAGCGATAATGACGTGTGACGGTGTGGTATCAAAAAAAGACTAATATTTATTTGATTCAAATTTTGTTATTTACTTTTTGTACTGAAACATTTTTAATCTCATACGATATTAAATAACATTCATACAATAATAGGGTTGCTTTTCGCTCGACAAGCACATTGTACAGATAGAAAAAAAAAAAACATTATATTTTAAAATCAACTCATCATCCTGTCATTTTATGACAATTTATTTTATATCTCAATATTAAGATAAAACCATAATTACTATAATATTTAAATCACTGCAATTTGATCACTACTTAAAAATAATATTTATTGTACATTTCCCATATTTAGCGACATTGCATTTTGTATCTAGTCAATACAAAAAATAAGGCACATATTAATATCACGCGATTGGCTTTGTATAGTCGATTGCAAATATTTATTGTTCAATTCTTAGAAATATTACATAAAATATATACAATGTAACGATTTATATACCAGAAAAAAATACCTAAAAATGATAAAAAAAAATACATTAACTATTTATTATAATACAATAAATATTTAGACAGTTAACATGCAATTAAGAAATTTATTATTAGACGCTTTTTCTAGAAATCTTATTGGGCTTATTTTTTAACTATAACGCCATCTAGTAACGCACCACTATAACAGTAGTACTTTTGTTACCGCTAGATGACACTATGAATAGAAAAGTGATCAAATAATTATTAAAACATTTTGACAGATGTTTAAATGGACTTCCATTTTATTTACAAAAAGATATGTATTTCAGGTATTTGCCATAAAAACATGGATACACATAAGAGAGTAGTTATAAGTACGGCAATAATATAAACGCCATAAAAGTGGAGTTAGACCAAAGGCGGGAGGGGGGCAAAATCTTGTTATTTATTACTTTTAAATTTTGTGTAATGCGAAAATACAAATAATAAGCATTAATAATAATTACGTCTATGCTATTATTATATTCTTCTATAGTTCTGTTAACTTAAACTATGTTTTAGCTCTTACTTTGTGTTCTTTGTAATTTGTTGATATGTAAATATTGACCATCTTATTAAGAAAAATTAGATTCTATTTGGGTTATTAGAGTGTTTGATTCAATAGCCAAAATAGACTTTTAGAAGTAAGTATTAACAGTATTGTTTTTACATTTATGTTTATATATATATATACAGTATTTTTTCTATTATATATATATATATATATATATATATATATATATATATATTGCACTTGTAAGTTACATATAAAATAATCTATTTATAAATGTTGTGAGCAAGAGTGGACTTATCTCTGACAGAGATCTCTTCCAGTCAACCCAGTACAGTGAGAAAGCATTTCGTTAGCGGGCAGCTGAAGTGCTAGAACTATTAATACATAAACAAATACACAGTTATACTGTTTACCAAATATATATAATACTTGTATGTATTCAGAACAGTACCTACATATATCACTTCAGTCTAACTCCACTTCAATATATTGCTGCCGAGCGAAACAAACAAAAAAAAAACACATACCTACATACATTTGATAACAATGTCGAACATAATTTAATTTAATGTCGACTACATTTAAAATAACGTATTAAGGCTCACTGATTCACAGTTAACTTAAACATAACTTACTTAATAGTAATATATTTTGTTCTCTATTATTAACCTATACTTTTGCAAATTAGTTATCAACTTTAACTTTTTTTTTTTATACATACTACTTTTGGTGTACCAATAAACAGTGTTAATAAAGCAAACAATAAAAAAAAAAGTTGTTAATTTATTATGAATACTGTACAATTTCATTACAGTGAGAAATAAACATCTCTCACGACTATAATTCTTGATGAGGTAGTTCTGTTGCGATTGTGGTGGACCTAACATGTCGAATGTCCACATATTGACAAGTGTATAGTATAAAACATGCAAGAGTGAGCCTACTGATGTTATTTGTATATATATTAATAAAAAAAAAGGTACAATATAAAAATTCTATAAAATATGAATCGTCTTAAAAGAGTAGCTTTTTGCTACCACCGTGTACGTTTGTCCTTTTTTAAATAATGTTACAGCATTATAAATTTTGCGTCGAAGTCTTTAGTGTTTCAAATTTTTGTTTTTTTTTTGTTAACTTATTAAATATTTAAATTAAAAATAAAAATAATTTCGAATAGTATCATGAGAAATAAAATAAGAATAATAAATAAATAAATAAAATAAGAAGAAAAATAATAAAAAAGAGAGAATAAGAAAAAAATATATCTTTACGCTATATTTTTACCAGTTAAGCAGGACATATCAAATATACTCAATGACTCAACAATGCAATATTTATTCTGTCCCTTTATAAACTTTCATTGACGACATGCTTTCATTTATTTATTTTATTTTATTTTTAAACTTGACAACTAAATTGCAAAAATATACACATAGACTGCTTTAAAACTTCAAAAAAAAAAATACTGCACCTATTTTATTATAGTTTTGAAATAAATTCATCACAAACTTAACAAACTTAATGCTCACTTAACCAGTGTTAGGTAACAACAAATCTAATATGTACATTGTATGTTATTAACAAGCATTAAACTAAGCTAGAAGCAATACGTCTCGATTAACTACGTTTTTTTTTATTTTTATATACAAAAAGTTTAATTTATATAATATTAAAATTCATAAATATCGTCTAAAAATATATTGTATCACATTTCTTATTAAATTGTGGTCCTTTAGTTGTAATATCCCAGTTTTTTTTTTTTCTTCTATGAAGTATATAAATATAGCTGATGTATTACTTATAAGTCTGACTCGTAATGAACATTTTTTAATTTGTATGTATATAATTGTTAAAAAATTGTGTATATAATGGATTTAAATAGTTTATCCTATATTGGTCCTAAGCCACCTGCATACACTGACTCCCTACAATGCATTTGAACTCGTCACTCCATCTAGTGGGGGATCGTCCAATACTAGTTGCTAATTGCTTTAATTAATGGAAAAAATAAAAAGAAAAATGTTATACACTTGTATGTAATGTATAATCGTAATTTTATAATTTGGTCTGTTAGTCTAAATTTAGGACCGTACAGAGTGACATGGGAACAAAGAAAAGTAAAAAAAAAAAAGTTTCGTAACATTTCGGCAACGTGTGTGTGACATCCTTGGTGTAACAGGCGTCCATAGACTACGGTACCGTAGTAGGATAAAAAAATTATAAAAAAAAAAAATATTTAATTTTTGGTATTAAAAAAATCGGCACAATATTACGCTTTTTTTTTTAATCAATTGACTCCATCTATTCCTAGCAGATATTTTATAAAATATGTTTTTGTAGAAAATACAATTCAAAAGTGCGAGTTCAGACTGACAGTAATAAGTTAAAATAAATATAATTGACATCGTGACGTTAGCACCATATTTATTTGGCTAGTAAGAAACTTTAATACTTTTATATTTTTATTATTATAGTTCGTGAACCCTTTGGGTTCAGTATAAAAAAATTACTAACTAATAATCAACAAAGTAGTTTGTTTTTTTTTTCAGACTCAGGACACAGTTATCAGTTAGTCACTACTTTGAATAGCGCCATCTGTGATTGAGTTCACGAACTTGATAGTTTCTCTAACAAAACAGCATATATTTAGCCAAAAATTACTTTAAACATATCAAATAGTACAAAATTAGCATTTTTCAATTTAAATCTAAAATGCTTTACAAAACATCCATTAATTCACTATATCAAAAGACATATCTCGTCAGCACCAAAAAAATATTGTCTATACATTTTATTTGACAAAACTATTCGCTAACACACATTACCCTCAATATTTCGACACGGTCGGATAAATCGAAAAGTAGGAAACAATATTATAATTTAACTACATAAATATATTGAATAATTAAATTAAAACAATGAGCTGGTAACGAATTCATCACGATCCTTAGTATAATTTATCTAAATATGCAATTGGTACTAATTTAACAGCAGCTAAACGAAGAAATTTAAATTTAGAAGTATTTTTCGAGAAGAAAATTATGATTCTCTTTGGTTTCTCTTTACCATTGACTGGGTTTCCATTTACTTTTTTTATGGCAATACGTTTTGAGTCAAAGACAATTGATACGACAAGATTACAAAACAATATATTTTCAACTAGTATTTCAGATAATAAGCAAGCTTACTACCATTTTATCCCGATGGGGGCGCTACTGTGTCATAACGTAAACGAACTTCATCTCTGTATAGCAATATATAATCAATGTAATACATGGAAAAAAAAAATTAAAACTTTATTATAAAGTTTTAAATATCAGTGAATATTGTTGTTTAAGTTGTAACACAGTGGCGCCATTTTTGTACTGTTTTACCGTTACGCAAGTTTTCCGGATTGTTTTTGACTTCTGAAATAGTGTTTCGTGGATTTCAATATGACATCTGTATGAAAATATACTAAAAATATTTGTTTATGAACACATAATAACTAGATTGTTGGAGTTCCACGCCAGCTATATTACCTATCGTTGTTCAATATTTATATTTATTTCTTATTAGGGTTTAAATTAAAAGAACGGTAATAACAGATGTAAAAAAAGATTGTCCAATATTGCAGTTATTAATATAATATCCTGTATTATATATATATATATATATATATATATATATATATATATATATATATATATATATATATATATATATATATATATATATATATATATATATATATATATATATATATATATATATATATATATATATATATATATATATATATATATATATATATATATATATATATATATATATATATATATATATATGACACCTCAAGAGTACAACGGAAAATGCATCTTATTTAAACTGTCTCTAAGTATTAATATCGAAGAGAGTTCCGAGAGATACGGAGAGATATTGTATGATGCTCTGTTTATATTTCGTAAGCATTATTAGACTTGATAATAATATCTGTTTACTGAAATAACAGTTAATAAAAATAAATTGCTAAAATAAAAGAAAATTGTGTTAAATTTTATTTATCAATGTAGATATTTTTATGTCCAACTCTGAGATTTTTTTATGATAAAATATATGACTATCATTAAAAAGGCAAGTTTAAAAGCCGAGTTAAGTTATTATAAAAATATTAATATTAATTTTGTACATTTGTTTGAGACATAATCCTTTATACCTATGTGTGCGTAATATAGAGGGTGTGGAACCCCATACGTTGAGGTCGACGCACACTTAACATCACATGAGACACTTATTCGAAAGTACATCCATTCTCACATCATAATTTATACGTCTTTTAAAATCCAGACAAATTGTAGAGATCTATTATTAGTTAGGTATTCAGGAAGGGAAAGCTACCTTTCGTTTATATTTTCTTATACAGCGCCATCTTTTGACATTATACTCACATTACACTATAGAATGTAACGCCATCTATTTAGTTTTCGAAATACTAAATAATTGTTTTAATTTCTTTATTTAAATAAGTAAGTAACAATAAATAATTCGGGATGACTTAAACAACATTAAAAACAAGAAATGACACAAGTGGAAGTCGAAAACAGTGTTCGTAACAAAATTAACTACAAATTCCTACTACGTTCGATAGATGTCGCGGAAAAGTCACATTGCTTTTCTACTAGATGGCGTTAAAGACGAAGCGTTCCTTTCCTTCAGAGGTATCATTTGAGTACCTTCAAACTTGGTGTACATATGCTAAGCCCCCAGATCCATGTCGAAGCAGGGCTGACGAGGGTGGGAGTGGGGCGAATGAGGTGCGTGATGGTGAGGTCCACCTAGCAGTAATGTTGGTAAACACGACTCGCCCAAAGACAGAGCACCGCCTAGACCCATCGACTCCGACATTAGAGATGATGAACCTGAAAACAAAAAAAAAAAATGGATTTTACAAGGTCGACTTTCTTATGGTCTTTACTCAATTGATTACAACTGTTTCAAATTGTTATCATTAAATTAAAAATGAGGTTTTAAAGGATCTCTTGTAAAAGCGTTAATTAACGTTTACTTTTATTTTACAATTAAAACAGCAGTGAAATTATATAAAAATAGCGGCCCGTCCCGGCGTCGCACGGGTGGACATTTTTAACATTTCCCTTCACTGCTCTGCTCTTATTGATCGTAGCGTGATGAAAAGTATACTATAACCTGTCCAGGAGTATGAAGAATTGTACCAAGTTTCGTTAAAATCCGTCGAGTAATTATTGTTTCTATAACGAACATACAGACAGACAAAAATTTTACTGATTGCATTTTTGGCATCAGTATCGATTACTAATCACCCCCCGATAGTTATTTTGGAAATATATTTCATGTACAGAATTGACCTCTCTACAGATTTATTATAAGTATAGATTTAAACTCCAGGAATAGCAACGTATAAGAGGTAACTACTAAAGACGTCACAGTATAGCAAGTGAATCCCATGTCTATCAACCATGGTTTCAATTTTTCTTCAAGTGGGCCTTATACGGTATATTAATAGCAATGGGGACTAACCTTCCCATTACTAACAATCCAAGCCCTCTGGTATCCACATTGCTTATGCCTAGACTGTATATACAAATGAATGTTTTTTTTATGCAACTTAGAATGGCAAACAAGCTGACGGCCCACCTGATGGAAAGTGGTAACCGTCGCCTATAGATACGAGCAGTACCATGTACATAACAGAGTATACTGTTACACCCATGATACCCCCATGCGTTGCCATTCCTGAGGACTCAGTTGTTATACCTCTGTACCCAGTAAATTCACTGCCATATCCCACCCTTTAAACCGAAACACAGCCATGCAAACACAACTGCTTCACGGTAGAAAAACGAATGGGACAAGAGTGTCCAAGCAAACGACTTTCACACAAAGTCTCTTTGGTATATACAATATAACATCAACAACAACAAGGCTCGTTTGTCCGCCAGATGGTGTGGGCGGGCGAGGTAGCCCACTAGGCCGGCTTGCCCCGGTGGTGTGGTGGTGTGGTGGTGTGGCGGTGTGGTGGTGTGGTGGTGTGGTGGTGTGGTGGTGTGGTGGTGTGGTGGTGTGGTGGTGTGGTGGTGTGGTGGTGTGGTGGTGTGGCGGTGTGGTGGTGTGGTGGTGTGGCGGTGTGGCGGTGTGCGCACGTACCGTCCGCGTGCGTGTAGGGCGCGTGCTCGTCGCCGAGCAGCGCGCCCGCCACCACGTCGCTGAGGCACAGCGCCGCCGTCGGCGACGAGCACAGCATCGGGTCGCCTGTGTTAGGAAAACGCAATATATTATTTATAATATTATATATATATATATATATATATATATATATATATATATATATATATATATATATATATATATATATATAAATGATATGTGGGGTACTACGTTTATAATACTAAGTAATACTAGCTTTACATATATGTATATAATATATTCTTTAGCAATGTAAAGGTTGTAAGCCTCTTAGTAATAAATAGAAATAAAGTACAAGTTCATTTAATTTAGATATCATACTATTAAATCATATATTTACTTATTTTACTTTATATTAGTTACCTCCTTGGTAGCCATGTTTCGAAGTAAAAGGTCACTCCATTTTTAATCACAGGACAGATATGAGTTTACATAGTAATTTATCTGGCCGCAAAACACGACAGATATGGATTTTCATACAACTTTTGCCGGCCGCTGCCCGCATGTATCTGGCCAGTACGGCAATTTTGATTTATCTCGAAGAAGATTGTCAAAATAATGCTCACAATTCCAAGCATGTTTGAGAAAATAAATCTAACTCGAGATTTTTAGATATTTTATTAAAATTATCGTTTACAAGCCAGATGTATGTCTTATTTTTTTAAATAAACCGTTATGTTTCGGTGCTTAATCACAAAATACCTTTATCATTCACAGCATTAATCCTTCATCCTACAGTGAGAGATGACAAATAAGAATGAAAGCAGGTCAGTTAGCTCATCGTGAAGAATTCCACGAGACGTAACCACGATGGTTTCCAGGGGGAACCACGTGGAGGTCGACATGATTAGTAAGATTACCAGCATTAGGGGCTGTTAGACCCCCTCGCTAACAATCCCTTTTCCCCTGTCTATATGCTAGGGTTGTAATAGTAGGTACCTTGCGTGACAGGGTTGTGCGAGTCGTCGTCCATGAGGTCCTCGATCTGCGCCAGGTTGAGCACCGCCTCGCTGTCCTCGCCGCCCAGCAGCCCCGGCGACGGCGACATACGCATCTACAGGCGGATATTTATTTATTTAACTCTTTATTGCAAAAAAAAAAAACATTAAAATAAACAATGGCATATAAACAATTCAAGTGAAATACAGTAGCATGGAGTACAGATTAAAATATACACATGAAGGTACAAAAGGCGGTCTTATCGCTAGGGCGATCTCTTACAGACAAGCTTTGGTTAAAGGAGAACATATACAACATTCATGTACAGGGTGCCAAGGAAAAATATATAATTATAGAATTAATTTAGGGTGAAAGGTTTATAGGTTATGGGGTCTAAAAGTCCTATTAGTATCAGGTCGACCTCCACTCGGTACCTAATGGAATATTCTTAATTTCACCCATCAAAAAAATGTAATTGTTTTTAATGCATGGAAATGGAATGATAACCCCGCCTGCGCTATCGGTATACGCTGGCGGGGCACCAGTGAGGGGTGATAGGTAAGCAAAAAGGTTAGTGAGCCGGTCGCGTCATAGTAAATTGTACAAGATTTAACCACGATGGTGTCCAGAGGGAACCGCGTGGATGTCGACCTGTTAGGTTATATTACTAGCAATAAGGCTATTAAACCCCATTACTAACAATTTTTTTTATACAACTTAGAATGGCAAACAAGCTGACGGCCCACCTGATGGAAAGTGGTAACCGTCGCCTATAGACGTGTGCAGTACCATGGACATAACAGAGTATACTGTTTTGCCCATGATACCCCCCATGCGTTGCCATTCCTAAGGACTCAGGTGTATAGAAAATAAGTTAATTTTAAATCAAAATAATAGAAATTTTGAAATTAAAATAATTGATTTTAGCATTATTAAAGTTGGTTTTCTTTCATGGAATACATACTTAAAATATATATATATATATATATATATATATATATATATACTTCATTGCACTAAAACATACAGTAACAACAATAAGTTAATAACAATGTTAGCAATATATATATATATATATATATATATATATATATATATATATATATATATATATAATTCATTGCACTAAAACATACAGTAACAACAATAAGTTAATAACAATGTTAGCAAAGGCGAACTTATCTCTAAAAGAGATTTCTTCCAGTCAACCTAACACAGTGGCATAGGAAGTAGTGGGTGGGCAGTAGTAGTGCAAGACAGATTTTGTCATATGAGTTATTAAAAAATAAAAAAAAAATAGATCGCCTTGAAAATTGTACCTATCTTTTAATATACTGTGACAACACCTCAAAGGCATCACGGCAGACAGTTACAAGACGTACCTTTATATCCTTATGACTAAATAGGTGATCAGCCACTGGTTCCAGGCAGAGATCCGGCTCCAGGCAGCTCAGGGACAAGCCCTCGTCGCGGCTCAGCGGCGAGCACGAGCCCAGCTTCAAACCGTCTGAAATGTATGCAAGGACAATACAGCTATACAGCTTGTCCACGTAAAACTAGAAGGAGACGGACGTATTATGGGTTTTTTTTTTTATATGGGTGAAAATGGAATGGTAACCCCGCCTGCGTTATCGGTATACGCTGGCGGGGCACCAGTGAGGGATGATAGGTGAGGATGAAAGCAAGTCAGTTGGTACATCGTGATGAATTCAACAAGATTTAACCACGATGGTTTCCAGGGGGAACCGCGAGGAGGTCGACCTGATAGGGTTTATTGATAGCACTTGCTACTGTACTTACCCTCATTACTAATAATCCCTTCCCCCCACCTCGTTGAGGGATTTTTTTAATACAACTTAGAATGGTAAACAAGCCGACGGCCCACCTGATGGAAAGTGGTACCCGTGGTATGAGCAGTACCTTGAACATAACAGAGTATACTGTTTCGCCCATGATACCCCCCATGCGTTGCCATTCCTGAGGACTTAACTATTCCTCAGTTCCCTGTAAAATTCACTGCCATATCCCACCCTTGCAACCGAAATACAGCCATGCAAACACAACTGCTTCACGTTTGAAACATGAATGGGACAGAGATACCCAAGCAATCGACTTTTGTACAAAGTCTCCCTCTGAGATTCTCCATTCTAAGATCAGTAAAAATAACTCAAGCTTGTGTGTTCTCCAAAAAGAAAACGACTCTAACTGTGATAAAATCGGTTATTTTGGGAAGGTTCTGTTATTCATAAAATGTATCTTGACGTATTATTTAATAAATAAAACGAGTGTTTACGCATTAAAAAGATGCAGAAATTATAAGACAAAATAAATATAGAAGGTATAAAGGAATCACTCGTAACTATTTATCACGCAAAATTGTATGAAAAAGTTGATCCGCTGTTATCGAAGCATTTGTATGGAGACACTCTATCTATATAAGTAGGAAATATATGATTGATTTACCTAACGCGTCGAGCGCTGTGAGACATTCTGTTGAGGGCATATCTCGCATCAGGCCCGCCGGCTGCTCGCTCAGCTCCATCAGGGGCGACGGCTCTGTTTTTGGTAGCACCACCTCCTGGGAATACAAACGGTTATTCCATCAGTTTAAGGGACTGCGAGGGATGGGCAGCAGTACCCCTCTTAAAACATCACCAAAGCCGACCGATATGGGCGATATTGAAGTGGGCGATGACCTTTTTTCCGCCATCTTTTTGTTCAGTGGAATCTAATATATAGTTATCGGGGCGATATCCATATTTTTTTTTTCATGGGTGAAAATGGTATGGTAACCCCGCCTGCGCTAACGGGATACGCTGGCGGAGCACCAGTGAAGGGTGATAGATGAGAATGAAAACAGGCCAGTTAGCCCATCATGATGAATTCATCAGGAATTAACCATGATAGTTTCCAGGGAGAACCGCGTGGCGGTCGACCTGGTTGAGTATATTGCTAGCAATGGGATTCTCAGTCTCCATTATTAACAATCCCTTCCCCCCCCCCCCCCCCCCGTATCCATATTACCCATGTGTATCTATTGGTACTAGATAACTGAAAAAATTTTAAATAATTTATTTTATACATATTATACATACAGGCATATTCCGAACAGGCGACGCGTGGGATTCAGAGCCGGCAGTTTCAATACCGGAGTCGTCCGCGTGCGGGGAGCCCCAGCCGTCGGTTCCCTGGCCGACCCCTCCGCTCGGCACCGACAGCCCGTGCAGCCGCGCTAGTCTCTCTAGCTCCTGTAATGTGCACACACTGTATTTCTAGCTTTATCGCTTCACTATTAAGACCTAAAATCCAATGTTAGTCCTTTCTCGTGGATATCGTAAGAAGTGACTAAGGGCAGTTAATGGTCGAGGAATGAAAAATATTTAATATTCTCGTATTGCCAGCAGATAATTTAAATACCTGGTGACAATACAAGTAAATTAAGTAATAATTTAAGTATGTAATTTTAAAGATTATATATTTTATATTTTCAAACATTGTTTGTTATTAAAAGTTTGAAAAAAGAACGAAAACCGCGCGCACACAAATTGGCGGGAATTTAAATATGAGTAAGAAGTACTGGATGTATCACTTCGAACAAAAATCGGTTATATAGATCAATGTTACCATTTCCAGCCAGTATGATACTTAGTCAATATGGCGTTCTTTAAATAACCTACTTATATTTTTAACAGTGCCTATGTAATTCGCGCCAATTTACAAGCGACCTTGTTCAATTTTTAAATAAAAAAAAAAAAATGTGCATTATTAATTTAGATATAGAACTTTTGTATGTCGATGAAACTAACCTGTATCCTGAGCATGAGTTTCCTATTGTGCAGCTCGATCTGTTTCCGCCGCTGCTCACTCTGTTTGAGCCTGTTCACTTCATCCCTCAGGCACTTGATGTAGTCCACACTGCTCTTCAATATCGTGCCCTTGTTCGGCCGCACGTCCCTGATCACCTCGTAAAATGGATCCGTCGATTTGGGGAGCAGCGTCCCCAGCTCTTTTATCCGATCGTTTATGTTGAACCGGCGACGGCGCTCGACTGCAATTTAATAAGTATGATACTTATTAAATTACTATATCAATTAAATTCGATTAGATAAACTATATATTTGTAAAATTCTATGTCTACTATTCCAATTATTCGTTTTTTTTTCTGTTAAAATCTATTTCTCTATTAAATAATAAAATAATAGAGATTGATGATACAAAAGTACTTATAATTAAATTTATCCAAATATTTCTTAACTTCTTTAATATATTTTTTTTTATTATTACATTTTTTGCAACTTAGAATGTTAAACAATGGTTCACCTAATTGGAAAGTGATGGCCGTCGTCTGTAGACATGAACAGTGGATTATGGTTCAGTATCAGACAGGTTACACTGTGATGTCTATGGTATCGTTCATTGCTATTCTCTATTCCTGAGAACAAGTCCTATGCTTTTGTATCCTGTAATTTTATTCTCAAAGTACCTAATAAATACTCGTCAGAGAGACACAGCCATGCAAAAACAGCTGCTTCATGGCAGAAACATGGGTGTAAGTAAATGGGGCCCATATAAAGGATATTGATACGAAGTGACCCTCTTTTTATAGCACGATATCTTGCGCGAACACAAGTAATATGGGGGGAAAGGAATTGTTAGTAATGAAGACTAAGAATCCCATTGCTAGCAATATATCCAACCAGGTCAACCTCCTCGCAGTTCCCCCTGGAAACTATCATGATTAATTCTAGATGAATTCATCATGATGGGCTAACTGGCCTGTTTTCATTCTCATCGATTGCTCTTTACTGGTGCTCCACCAGCCTATACCATTAGCGAAGCGGAATTACCATACCATTATCACCCATAAAAATCCGTGATCTTGGTCGATCACGGAAATTTACAATAAAATTTACTCTCTACCGCCACATTATGCTTTTTAACGGTACGTTTGAAGGACCCGGAATTAAAGGACGAAGGAAACAAGTCACGTGAAAGGTTGTGGTAGTAGTAATGGAGTAAAAGAAGCTACAAACTCATATTGTGGTTGTCCTTCTTCTGACGGTCCTTGGCCAGCGCGTGCATGTCCGCATCCGAGAGAGGGCCGCAGTCGCCGGCCACCGAGCTGGCGGCCGACGGCGGGCCTGACGATGCGCCCGCGCCGTCCAGCGACAGGATATCCTCCAGGAACTCGTCCGCCTGCATCGTGCCACGACAAATGGAAGTTAATAAATCTGGCCAGGCTGGTATGTATTATTGTATTTATCTATATATTGGCCCAATAACTGATATATTAAATACCAACTACCTAAAATATGTTGCTATGGTGTTATTGCATCGAAGAACACCATCGAAATGAATATCTGACTAATATCGATAGAAATATGACCTTGATGACCTTTTTTCTGCCATTTATATCCAGAAGTACCCAATATATATATATATATATATATATATATATATATATATATATATATATATATATATATATATATATATATATTCCCTAGGGAAGGCTTATATCAGTAGTGGACAGTTAAAAGCTGACATGATGACGATGATTAATCCCTAAAATACTTGTATATAAGTATCAAGACGTTACCTCCGAGTTGTTGGTGCCTACAGAACAGATTCCAGGGCTGAGTAGACTGGAGGTGGAGCCTCTGTCTGGGGAGGGTGGCGGCTGTGTACCCAATTCGGGCGCTGACTGCACCGGAGCACCACGAGCTGCTACTGGCTGGTAACAAACAGAATTCTTAAGGTATCTTCTTTGTACAATATGTAACTCCCTTACAAGGTAACCAAAGGCATTTATACTTACATACAGTGTTTGCATGGCTGTGTTTCGGTTTGAAAGGTGGGATATGGCAGTGAATTTACAGGGTACAGAGGAATAATACATAAGTCCTCAGGAATGGCAACGCAGGGGGAGTATCATGAGCGAAACAGTATACTCTGTTATGTCCATGGTACTGCTCATGTCTATAGGCGACGGTTACCACTTTCCAAGAGGTGGGCCGTCAACTTATTTGCCATTGTAAGTTGCATAAAAAAACATACACCTCTTGCTTGCCGCACTTTCTCTGTCTCACGCAACAGGGCGATATATTTTGAAGTCTTTGTGCTGTTGCTGTGTTTGGTACATGTTTTTCAGTTATTTTCTGAGCTTATAACGTATCTTATTTAGAAATAATTATGTTCATACCACTAAGATTGCCAACAAGCAGAACTGTATCGATCGGATAGTAAGCATTTACAGAAGCCTATAAACAATGCTAAAACTAGGGGAGTGATGTGTCTTGAAGAATGTGCTGTGATAGCAAATTTTCAAAAAATTACATGAGATTTTTTAAAAATGACGAGAAGATTTGTTCCCGGTTAATAACGCGCTCTTAGAATCTCTAGTGTTTCTTTTTTTATTTGATGGATGAAAATGGAATGGTGACCCCGCCTACGCTAACGGTATACGCTGGCAGGGGACCAGTAATGGGTGATTGATGAGAATGAAAACATGCCAGTTAGCCCATCATGATGAAATCATCAGGAATTAACCATGATAGTTTCCAGGGGGAACCGCTAGAAGGTCGACCTGGTTGAGTATATTGCTAGCACTGGGATTCTCAATCTCCATTACTAACAATCCCTTTCCCCCCAATCTCTAGTGTTATAGAGTCCAATAATTACCGTATCTTGCAATATGTATGTTTATTCGCTTTTTTGGGTACTGGCAACTTTATCTGGAGCTGTATTAGAATTATAGTATATTTAATATTAGTTAAATAGTTAAATGACAGTAGACAATTGCCTGCTGAAAAAACAATGACATGATACTGGTAGTCAATTCTCACCTGTGTCTGTGGTTGAAATGACTCACTGAGGTACTGCCGCACCTGGCTCTTCTGTTTCTGGATCACGTGATACCTGGTGGGGTTCTCCAGAACTGTCCGCACCTGTAAACAATAAAAAGGCGATAGTATTACTTCACGCGTTGAGATCTGAGTACACGTATGAACACGACAACGTCAACTGTGGCATCTGTTAACATCCAATCCATAAGGTGGTTAACCCTTCTTTGCAAGGGGGAAAAGGATTGTTAGCAATGGAGTTTGACAGCTCCATTGCTAGCAATATACCTTATTAGGTCGACCTCCACGTGGTTCCCCCTGGAAACCATCGTGAACAATTCTTGTTGAATTCGTCACGATGGGCTAACTGATCTGCTTCATCCTCACCTATCATCCCTCACTGGTGTCCCGCCGGTGTATACCGATAGCGCGGGTGGGGTTACTATTCCATTATCATCCATTTAAAAAAAAAACCCTTCTTTGTATGATTCTTTTTTTATTGTTGAACTAAATCAAGGTGATATAATTCATGTTCAAAATTAAAGGAAAAATGGTTAAAAAAATAAATTTCACAGCTATGTTTTGCTTTTTGCAATGGACATTAAAAAGGTATCCAGACACGATCAACTTAAAGTGAACTTGGTCTTTTATATAATTTTTGGGCATTCAATGTTATGATGGAAATTTCCACCATTATGCAAAGTAGTGGTTAAGTTGAAAACAATTTCAAGTCCATACATGAGAAATAAGATCGAAAAGATTTCGAAAAATTTTTTCATTATATTCATTAAGATTACGCGACACGGGTTACTTGAAAAAAAAAAATTATAAGATCTAAAAATTAGAAACTTCAAGCTTCAAATTGCTTTTTGTTTTACACCAAAACGACCATTTTTATCACAGATACACAAAATACCATTTGAAAAATCGCCGAATATATATATATATATATATATATATATATATATTTTTTTTTTTTTTTTATCCCTTAATTTTTACCACTAGTGTATAACAGTACCCTCGCCAATGTCAAAGTATCTTATACAATTAATCTGAAAACAGTCGATATTTAGTTTCTTGCGGTTTCTTCTCAGCAGATTTATTATCTATCTATCATTCCGAACCCAGCAGTAAAAACATAAAAAAAAAAATAACGATTTAAAAGAGCTTGTAAACGAGTCTATTTGAATAAAAATTATTTCTATTCCTTTTCTATTATATTACAGTAAGTAATATTAGCTATATATAAAACATAAAAAAAAAAATAGAAAAATCAATCCAGACCTGTAAAACCTGTGGGGGTAGTTCGACATGCGGCGCAATGCGCGGCACGTCTGTTGGTGTAGACTTCTTTTTCTCTTCATTGTCTTTGGATTGTCCTGCTTGTTGTGCCTGCAATTAAAATAATAATTTGATGAACATTCTATCTCGTTTACATCACAGTCAGAAGAGTTGATTAAAGGTGATGATAAACAATCGTGAATTTGACCAAAGGAAGACTTTTTACTAAAGTTGTCCACTTGGATGTCTTTGTGCCTGTGGCAAAGGGTTGTTAGTAATGGTTTTCCCAAGAGACTACAGCATGGGGTTCTTCAAAAGGGGAGTAAAGAGGTTTATACCATGAAGCTACCTCCCATCATTCATGGGCTTCAGTGATTTTTATATGGTAAGAGTCATGTAATTTTTTTAATGGGTGTAAATTAAATAATGTCCTTGACTGCACTATTGCTGTAATAAAAGCTGGTCAGTAGGCCCATTGTGAATTCAAGAATATTAGGTTTCCATGCAACTACTGGTAAAACCCCCCAAGGGGAAGCTTATGTTCAGCAGTGGACAGATAAAGGCTGATGATGATAATGAAGTTTCCATGAAGAACCGCGTAGTTGTCGACTTGGTATTTGCTAGCAATATACCCTATATTGCTAGCAATGGGGCAGTTGGACCTAATTACTATAGATGTCATGTCTATAGGCGACGGTTACCACTTTCCATCAGATAGGCCGTCAGCTCGTTTGCCATTCTAAATTGTATAAAAAAAATCCTTTTCCCATGTCCCTAATAGTGCTGTACATTTCTATTGGCGATAACCAAGACTTTGATATCTGCAAACGACAAGTAAATTAAATCTAGTAAATTTATACCTAATCGTTTAATACTTAAGGCTTGTTTGCCATTGTAGGTTACATAAAAAACGCATATAAAAATAAAATTATTCAAAAAAATATATTTTGCAAGCAACACAATGCAGGACAAACGGATTGTGTTGCATAAACCCGCGCTTGTATGCAAATCTGAACGTGGTCCGGTTACTAGAGCTACGGGTTCAGTTCTCGTTCGCGCGAAATGTTAAAGGTCGCCAAGTTTGGCATTGAACTGCGTGGAATTAACCTAGATTTCCATCAGTGTTAGCGGATTTGCTTTTTTTTTTATTAAGCTTTTTAATTGTTTTTATTTTTTAAGATACTTCAAGTGGAAGGTGGTAACCGTCACCTATGGGGGAGAAGGGATTGTTAGTAATGCGGATTATCAGTTTCATTACTAATAAAGACGATGGGCTAACTGACCTGCCTTTTCGTCCTCACCTATCATTTATCACTGGTGCCCCGCCAGCGTATACTGTTAGCGTATAGGTAGCGTTAGGTATAGGTTCATACCTACTAAACCATGGACACTACAGAATGTACTGTGATGCCCATGGTAACATTGATTCCTAAGGAGGGGAGATTATTAATAATGCGAAGTCCTATTACTAGTTTTAATGGTAATAATGAAATGATAACCCCGCCTGCGCTAACGGTATACGCTGGCGGAGGACCAGTGAGGGATGACAGGTGAGGATGAAAGGGTGGGTCAGTTAGCCCACCGTCATGAATACACCTAGAATTCAGCACGATGGTTTTCAGGGGGGACCGCGTGGAGGTCGACCTGATAGGGTATATTGCTAACAATGGGACTGATAATCCGCATTACTAACAATCCTTCCCCCCCGCCCTATTACTAGTAATACATCCTATCAGGTCGACTTCCAAATGGTCTTAGAAACCATCGTGCCGAATTCCAGGTCTATTTATCACGATGTGCTAACTGACCTGCTGTCTCATTTTTATCTATAATTTCTCATTGGTGCCCCGCCAGCGTATACCATTAGCGCAAGCGGGGTTACCATTCCATTATCATTCGTAAAAATTATCTTCATTCCTGAGAACTGTGTTTGTATGCGTACGTAACTTGTATGTTATTTCACCGCCATATCCCATCATAAACAGAAACACAACCATGCAAGCACAACTGCTTCACGGTAAGAACATGAATGGGACCATGACACCCATACAGACGATTAGTATACAAAAATACACAAACTTTTTTTTTATACAACTTAAAATGGCAAACAAGCCGACGGTCCACGTGTATCAAGTGGTAACCGTCGCCTATAGACATGAGCAGTACCATGGACATAACAGAGTATACTGTTTCGCCCATGATACCCCCCGTGCGTTGCCATTCCTGAGGCCTCAGGTGTTATTCCTCTGTACCCAATAAATTCACGCCATATCCCACCCTTCAAACCGAAACACAGCCATGCAAACACAACTGTTTCACCGTTGAAACACGAATGGGACAGAGGTACCCAAGCAATCGACTTTTGTACAAAGTCTCCCTCAAACTGTGACGTCATTAATTTTTTGAGAAAAAATCATGACGTCACATATATTGTGATATTCACTTTGTAGGCGACGGTTACCACATTCCATCAGTTGAGCCGTCATCTTGTTTGCCAGTTGAGGAATCATGAAAGATTACCTGTAATGACTCTCTGCGCAGCTGCTCCTGCGCATGCTCTCGCATCAACTGCTGCTTGAGCTGTGTACGTGATGTCGGCGTGAGGGTCTTGAATGTGGGGGGGCTGCAACAATTGACAACATATGCAAGTTAATATAAAATACATTTTAGTAAGAAACCTCAATCCAGTGAGGCAATGGGGAGGAAAATCGTAAATTGAACTCGGAATCTGATAAGTATAAACATTGTTACACAGGTTTTTTATATATTAAGATACGGAGAATCATCTTTATATAAACGTGTTGATCATTGTTGCGGTCATCACATTACAACAATCATCATCAACGTAATGGTATAGGGGAAACAGTCTCCATGGACAAATTTAGAGTAACTATTTTTTTATTTATTCTTTATTGACCACATTACAAAAAAAATGTCTGGCACAAAATGCGGACTTAATACTATATAGCATTCTATCGCAGTCAATCTTTGGCAAAACAGAAATTTTATTATGCGGTGAAAAAAATTACAGCACATACAATAGAGAACTACTGCACATTATGATTTTCTAAATATACATACATGAATACATTAAACAAATATTACATAAATATACAAATATAAAAATACAACTATGTTTTATCAGTAACAGTAGTATTTTAGTTTCTTCTTGTCTTATATCTTTATAGTGTATGTAAAATTGCTTTTATAATACGAGCTTCCACTATTTTCTATAATGTTACATAAATAATTGACAATAGGGACAAGGACGGGGAAAAGGGATTGTTAGTAATGGAGACTGAGAATCCCATTGCTAGCAATGTAAACAGGTCGACCTCCTCGCGGTTCCCCCTGGAAACTATCATGGTTAATTCCTGATGAATTCATCATGATAGGCTAACTGGCCTGTTTTCATTCTCATCTATCACCCTTCACTAGCGCTCCGCCAGCGTATCCCGTTAGCGCAGGCGGGGTTACCATTTCATTATCATTCATAAAAAAAAATATCTATAAGCGAATGTACAAAAACATATAAATATATAAAGAACAAATTTCACAGCAATTAGTTAAGCTGCTAAGACGTAACAAACAAATTCACTGTTATATATATAATATTAGTAAGGATTCATCTGTGAACACACAGACTTACTACTCGTATATTACATTTATATAAATGGCTGCCGTCAATACGCTACTATATTGTACCTACATATGTCAAATCAATAACAGTTATTGAGTTCTATATTGCAACATATTGATCAATCAATGCACAATTGACGTAGTTTTTAAAAGACATAATGGTTACGGAGTATGTATAGTTGTGAATCACATCAGCAGCTCGATTACGAAAATTAATAATTCAAATTTGGAATCAATTGTTCAAATATCGAATTAATCGTACAAATATCAATTTAGAATGGTTCAAATATCGAATCAATCGTTCAAATATCAATTTAGAATGGTTCAAATATCGAATCAATCGTTCAAATATCAATTGAGAATGGTTCAAATATCGAATCAATCGTTCAAATATCAACTTAGAATGGTTTAAATATAGAATTGAAATCAATTGTTCAAATATCGAATCAATCGTTCAAATATGGAATTAGTAATTATATTTTAGTCGCCGTGGGATGGAAAGCAGTCCCTGTTAAAATATCACAAAAGTCTAATTGCGGTTCCCAACCAGCCTGCCAAGCTAGCCAACTACTGCCAAGTCCAACTATGGGGGAGCCCTATGTTCAGCAATGGACAGTTAACACCTGGAGAAATGAGATGAATTATATTTTAGGGAATAAACTGCTGAATTTGTGTATGGGTGTTCTAAGTTGTTGACTCACATGTTCATTGTCTGGTCTCATGCTACATGGTATTCCAGCACGAGGACTAAGCAATTAGTGAGATTGAAATAAAATCTGAAAGTCCCATTGTAACAATTGCAATGGAAGCCATGGTAAATAGCCAGTATATCTGTAGGGGACACAAACTTTACAAGACAACTCATGATATATTATAATACGCAACTCCGTGCCACTGTACAGGTGTAAGTCGTGCTGGTATGCGCACGCGCATACAAATGGCACCGCGCATGGTGGGATCATGTAATTTTTTTCTGGGTATATAATAAATTACATATGCCAATTTATATTTTTGCGAGTTCGTATTATTACGCTTAGTGCGTAACATACGTATAAAACATAATGGCTAAATTAAGAGTTCCTCCTTTCGAAGTCCGTTAAATAAAATTTTAAAGCTCTGCGCCCACTATACCATAATCGTTAAGACAGCGCCATCTACGAAAAATTTTATTTGCCAATCGACACTTCCAGTGTGAAACAGTATATATGACGAAGGGACATAATATGGAAATTTTATTAAATGTATATATTTATTTATAAGAATCATTGTAATGTTGTTATCTGTTTTCGTAAGAAATTTAACAGTTACTTTTTAAAATCTCTATCATCATTATGTGTATTTATTTAAATGTACTATGTCTAAAATTACTTGATCATTTAAAAATCTGTGCATGATCGACTAACACCATGCACGTTTGTCATTGAAGTAATCGTACTCAGTGTGTAATAGGGTTTATTCAATAAGTATTTCTTAATAATAGTCATAAATTTAGTAAAAGGTTGGTCCAAAGTATCCTTCGGTATCATATTTTAACATTTAATGCATTTTTTTTTATTTTCATTGACTGATATTATATTTCTTTCGCCAGAAACCATAACCCTTGTTTTGAGCCGTTGCAGTACTCTCATAATACTTGTAACGCTTCTTTTCATATATGATAAGGTTTAGTGGACACAGATCCTAACTGCAACAAGCGTTGTTGGCGTAGTAACTAAAAAAAGTCGTTTTGTTAGATTTTTTGTAAACATTGCAAAATTAATGGAAACTCCCAAACTACCGTGGCATTTAATGTTTGTGTTGAAAAAATATACGCAATAATATAATAAAACATCAAAATATATGCAATTTGTATGGAAACGCTATTGTTACAATGCCAAAATCTTTTATCTACGATACATAAGGCTCATATTAATTTCTGTAAGTATATAGGCAAAATGGATCCTGGTTCCTTTAGGACACATATACTCTAATGTATTTTTTTTTAATAGTAATTTATTTGCCAGAAATATAGTTATATAAATAAGATGATACAATTTGCATTTTCAATGTTCAGCATGTTGTGCTTTATTATATCTATATATTTATACACACACACACACACACACACACACACACATATATATATATATATATATATATATATATATATATATATATATATATATATATATATATATATATATATATATATATATATATATATATATATATATATATATATATAGATAGAGCATCGAGTCTCTAAAACGGGTCAACTTTTTGTCAGCTAATTGTCAAATTAGCTAACTCGTTTTTTTATCAGTGTTCTATATTCTTATGCAAATAATGAATCTTGACGTATCTATATTTATTTATTTAATAATTAAAACAAGTTTTTATGATAAAATTTAACAACGATGAAAGAGATGCAAAATAAAACAAAATAAATATGGAAGTTATAAATGAAACATAACTATTTATCACGTAAAAATGTATGAAAAAGTTGGCCCGCTTTTCTTAAAGCATTTGTATGGCGACACTCTATCTATATAATAAATCTTTTCGTATTTTTTTTTTTGGCTATAAATATTAAATACATTTCTCTTTTTTATTTCATATTACTTTTTTAATCACTTATACACGTCAATAATAGGAAACAAAAAGTATTACAATAAAGCGCTTTATTATTAATGAAATTATTTATTATAATGAATTATGTTTTTTGTTTCTTTACATAAAATCAAGGTAGAATTACACTCAAAGAACACGAGGAACGAGCATTCGCTGGCTTGGTGTAACTCCACCTTTATCTATTATGATCTTTGTACGGTTAGAATACCAAGTAGTGGATTTGTTTAAGCACCTGTCACCTATACATCGTTAGATATGATTTGATCCTTATTATCTGCTGGCACACGTTACCAGTTACACGTTTTGTTGAACATTATGATAACATGTTATATAGTTATGTATCAAACAAGATAGGCCTAGATAATAGTATTTTTTTTATCTATATTCACACCTTTTAAAATACGAGATACGCAGAGAAAATCCAGTGCTGAAAACGTAGACATAAAATAATAATTATTCGAATTTCTACGGTTAAAAAAAAGAATAATAAAAATTATGCTTGCCAGTTACATTTTTTATTGGCCTATATACATATTGCATAGATAGAGAATTCATAGTTATTGGTAGTTAAATCCCCAAAAAAAAAAAATAGGATTTAAGGATTTTAGGATAGGAAGAAAGGGATCGTTAGGAATAGGATTTAAAAGCCCCATTGCTAGCAATATATCCTGTCAAGACGATCTCCATGCGATTCCCCCTGAAAACCGTCGTAGTTAATTATTGTTGAATTCATCACAATGGGCCAACTGATTTACTTCACCTATCATCCTGCAATGATATCTCATCAGTGTAGACCGACAGCACAGGCGAGGTTACCATTTCAATTTCACTCATTAAAAGAAATCACTCAGTTCTCTATCTACGCCTCCTTTCCGCCTCTGAAACTCGCGATCGAAGTCGCGGACAAAAGCTAGTATTCACATTATGTATATGTCTCGAGTGATTACACACATGTATACTTAATATAATACAAGTGTGATAGTGACATTCATGAACAGCAACGTGTGTACCTTGACCGCTAATTCTAGCCAATAGGTATGAGGTATGTAGGTACACTGCTTGTACGCCCTTTGCTTGCCAGCTGTACTATGTATATACACCTATGCCATTTGATAGAAATGAGGTAACTTTCCGTTGCAATTTTCTATATTATTCAAGGCTTCATTTGCGTTAATTAAGATAAAAAGTATATGTTCATTTAAGGTATACTCCTAAGATTTGAAGTTGGTACACAGTTGTACCAACCTTAGATTATATAGATAGAGTGCCACCATATAAATATTTCACTAAAACTAGACAACTATTTTATCTATGTGTGCGTGAACAGAGTTACCATATCGTACATTTACTTCTCAATATATAGGAGAAATTATC